TGGTTGGAGCCATCCATTGGAGAATGGTTTGCAATCAATTGGAATCATCTGCCCAAAGGGCAATACCTCAATGACTGTGTTGCCCACTTTACGGACAGATATTCCCTTTCCACCATTAAATAGTCCCTCTCTGCAGGGGTTAATTTCGGGCAGATGTATGCTACTGGATGGTCTTCACCATTCATTTCCTGGGACAAGATTTCCCCCAAGCCAACATCCGAGGCAGCTGTTTGTACATTAAATTCTTGACTAGTTAACTCTGGTCCCTTATACTGCCTTCAGCTCTTGAAGAGCTCCTTATGCCTCCAATTCTATTGGACCATGGTGGACTCCCTTTAGAGAGATCAGTAAGTAGAGCTGCTATAGTAGTAACGTTAGGCAAAAACCTCCAGTAGCATCCTACAATGACCAGGAAGGCTCTAATCTGTTTTTTTTTACACTGGCTGGGGGCAACTTTTAATTGCCTCCCAAATGTTGTAGGCCAAATACAGGGCTTCTTCCAGATCTATAATAAGCAAAGTTCCCCGAAAATACGGAATCCCAAAATAGGAGCTGTCTATAATAATCAAACAGGTAATGATAATGTAACAAATTTTAATGAGAATTATTAATAAAGTAGAAAAACATATAAACACACCTACTGACAAAGAACATCTAAAATCAATTAAAATGACAAACAAGTCCTCCCTGATATAGCCCTGTGTTGATTGATGTAGATGAGAATCTAGTGACCGTTAGTGATGGTCACAAAGAGTCACTGATATTGGACACAAGCGCTGTGTTAGGCAAGCAAATACTCAGTATCAAAGAAGAGAAAAAAAGAAGGAATTACTCACTTCTGATGTGGTTTAGGTGGTGAGACAATTCCTAACAAAAAAGACTTCAAGCATGCATGAGATAATGGTCACAATGGCTGTCCCAGACTGCTGGTCCCCGGTTTCAGCAACTTTATTTTCCTGTATGTTGGTATAATTGCTGCGAGGCCTGCTGTGGATCCTCCATGTCGGCTCCTGCCTATGAAGTGGTATTCAGACCTGTGTTTGATAACAAAGCTGGAAAGTTGTATTCCATATGTGCGGCCGCACTAACGAATGCAGGTGAATAAAGATCCACGAGGAGTGTAGTTTTCTCTTAGTGGGTCCAGTCAGCATGGATTTAGCCAAAGAGGAGTGAACAGATAGTATTCAGAGTGAAGGTAGTACTGTCAGATCCACCATGATTTGGTTGGTTTGCTTTGCCATCAGTGTCCCCAAAGGGATCCCGTATATCCAGCAGAGTCTGCAGAGTAAAATCATGGGCACACAGGGAGGGCTGCACACACGTTTAACCCTAACGTTTCACCCCTACACACAGGGGCTTCCTCAGAGGGACGTGTGGTAGACATCTTGCAGAGGTGAATCATATAGCTCCTGGATCAGAGCTTAATGAAGTTCAGGTGTACTTGAACAATTAGTAAACCGATCATCGGTTTAAACATTCATTTTCAAGGGCAGCCTGTAAAGCCCTATATATTTGCCTCAAAACATTCCGTGGTCATCGTGATTACACTATAAAATCGTTTTATAAAGTGTAACAGCCCCAGATTTAAATAAATTCTTTCAGTCTCATACAAATATTTGCATAAAAGATGATAACTATAAACTATAGACATAAGCTCTGGATCTGGTTCGTAGGTGATCTATATCTCAGGTCTGATGTATCAGAGGGTCTGTCTGAAGGTTTGTAAACGGGGAGCAGATCTCACATATGTCCCCATATAGTTTATATAAACAAAAAAAAAAAAAAAATACATTTCTTTTATGCCCAAATTTATACTAATCAATGACTGGAATACATGTCTCCATAATCCAGTGTCTAATGGCTTAGAAAAAAGTTTACATTTGCACCAAGAGTGCCATATAGCTGGATGCTGCTGAATGGGATGGATGCAGCTGCATTTGTATGAGACTGGAGGAAGCATTTGTAACGCATGTGTACATATACAGTTGGAGAAGCAGGTCATATTTCCCCTTCTACATTGTATCTAAGTGAATATGATTATATTTACATTCATGTATACAGTTACATAGCATTCAAATCTATATGTATGTACATGTGGTTACAAAGTTTCAGAACATGAATTATAAAGATCCGGCCATCACATATATATCATACCGAAAATAATTAGTTTAGAATAACCTACTTAGAATGAGAGCAAATTAAATTATAATTGTGTGATTACCTAAATACATGGAACATGCATACAACTCAATTGTATGCATGTGAGGGAAACACAATGTTTGAGTGAAGAGCCACTCCAGAGGTATCAATAAAGTCATATTTGAAAGGACAAAGATAAGAGATTCTTCCAGATCTACTGCACATTTTTTGGATTGGCTGGTGTTAAACCAGCTTTTTGAATGGAATCTAAAACTCTGCATGGGCACAAAAAAAGCTGTTGCATTTGGCAGCGGAGGCTCTTGTGTACCATCAAAAATTATAAAGGTATGCTAAGGGGTCTATTTATAAACAACTTGCAGGACCTGTTCACCCTGCGAATATCTGTAAACATTCACTGTGTAAGAATATATGCCAAAATGAACAATGTTCATGTAATATCACATCATGGCCACTAGAATGAGCTCAATGAGCACAGAAAGTGTTTATTTTCTACGCTCCTCTGCGCCACCTACTGGTCATAATGAGATTTTACATGACAAAAAAAATTGAAAATACATTCCCTTGTAAAGAAACAACTAAATAACCTTCATTTGGGCACATATCCACACGGAACAAATGTGCACAGATATTTGCAGGGCCAATAATTTATTAAAAAGACCCCAAAGAGTAATTTATTATGGGCCCAGTGCCTCTGCAAGTGAGTTGAACTCTATACTGCATCGTGTTGAGGTGGTAGTATACTTCACATTTAATCCCTTTTATTTTAATGTTCCTTTTATCTGTTTAGTAATAGCTTTTCTGTTATATGTTCTTGCACCATTTTTCTTTTCATTAAAGGAGAATTATGAGACGAGTGAAATACACTCATCCCCATTGTTAGAGCCGACATGTCGGCTCTATTGATTGAGAACTGAGCAATCAGATACAGTTGATAGTTCCCTTTTAAGCTGAATCTGCGAATGCTTTGACTACAAATGAAAGAACTTTGGCTCTGCGAACAGCTACCTTAGTGTAAAACTCTGTCATATTCCTGTCTGGTCGTGGCAGCGAGTGTTACAGACATTTCTCAAAGGTCAGAAATGCAACAGCTGATTCCGTGAGTGTTTCTGTTAATACACGCGGTGGCAGCTACCTTGTGTATAAAGGGTTAACCGCTCAGTTAACCTGACCCAGGGAAGACAGAAAAACACAAGAAAGAGCGCTACTACCTGATATTGAATAGCTGACCCAGGGAAGATCACTCTCAATCACTCCGTGCTTAGATTGTTGTCCAGACAGCCGAAAAGTCTCTGGGTAGGGTGACGCTGAGAGTGTAATCATCACATTCTGGAGGCAGCGGTGGGATCTGACAACATAACACTTGATTGCTTTTACAGGGTCACAGTCATTCCGATTCAATGAGCAGGGGAATGACCAGTGGCGTCCCGAGGCCGGGTGTCACCCGGAGCAGTTACTGGGTGACGCCCCGTCGTGACATCATCGTGCATGCACGGCGATCTTATCGATACCTGCCGGCGGCCATATTGGTGTTGGACGCCGGCAGAGAGAGGAGGGGGACAGTCATGAACGAGTGCCCATGACTGAGTGCCCGACTTTTCAGGGGGGGGGGGGACACCAAAATGACTGTCAGTCATTTTGGTGTCACCCCTCCAATGGTGTCACCCGAGTGACACAGGAAGCTTCAGAAGTGCAATAGTGAAAACACTGTTGTCACCCTATCAGCAAGGGTACAGGAGCTTCAAGAGTGACTAAACATAATTACTTAATATTAGGCAGCTTAAAGAGTTGTCATATGTGAGCTCCAATTGCATCTTCAGCTCTTCGGCTGGAGTTCCACTTTAAGGGCCCGTTCTCAGCATTCGGTGCGCATTATGGTGCACATAGCATGCGTGTGCTGGTGTGCGTTGTGCTGCAATGTGATTTTTTTTTTTTAACTGTTGAAAAAAAGTGTAAAGAATTCAACGCTATGCACAACAGGGCGCGGCGATGCATGGTTGTGCTAGGGTTGCCACCTGTCCAGGATTCACCCGGACAGTTCGGGTTTTGAATGCTGTGTTCGGGTTTCATGGCAGCAGAAACCCGGACACAAGATGTCAGGCACACAGGAGAAACCAAAATGAAGATAGGGGCTACTGGCCCCCCACTGAAAATAGTTTCAACTGTGATATTTACATATGAAGGGGTGGCACTATTTACATATGAAAAAGCAGCAACTCATTCTTCCAAGAAAATTTCCGTGTGTCGCTAGAGTGTTCGGGTTTCGATGGAAAAAAAGGTGGCAACCCTAGGTATTGCGTTGCATTTAAATGCAGACACTGAATTTTTACGCAACGCACCTATATGGTGAGAACAGGGCACATAGAGAACAATTGTTTTCTGCGTTCATGCTTTGAGCCTGCGTCAGCCTATGCTGAACAACGCAGCTCAATGCGCCTGATGTGAATGAACCCCGCAGGTTACATTTCAATAATACGCAGAAATAATAAAATGTATCCCAATTTAGTAACCAAAGAAGAAGATATAAAAGGAGATGCAAAAAGTCTGCACCAGCAGAAGATCTGAAATATTGTACGACTCAGGATCAACTCACTAAGCAATAAGGATCGTTAATTTTTCATAACGATCGTTGTTTTTGCAATAAACGCGGAAAATAACGCTTTGTAAGGCAACGAGACTATACAGCAGCGCCCCCAGCGGCAGACTAAAGACTGCACCGCAGCGCCCTAGAAGAAATAGAGCAGCGCCCCTAGCGGCAGACTATAGACTGCACCACAGCGCCCCAAGAAGACTGTACAGCAGCGCTCCTAGAGGACACTCCACCCAAGAAAAGATCAGCGCCTGCGCAGAAGCCACCGCAGCCGCGCCTGCGCAGACCCGAGCTCTTGTTCCTCGCAGCCGCAGTGACACAGCTGCCAGCCGGGAGGAGCAAGATGGCGGCGGCTGCGGCTACAGCTCCGAACGGCGGCGGGATGGAGGTGGACGGGGCGGGTGAGTGTACGTGCTACTGCCTGAGCTCCGTGGAAGGGAGGGGATTCCGTTGCGGAGTGCCGGGGAGAACAACGCTGCGGGGTGTAAAGCACGTTAGTAGTCATGGCCGCCCGCCTGACCGAGCCTCCCGATCTGGGTCAGATGGGTGGGTGGGACCTGAACGCCGCACTTTGGTTGGCTGATGGTGCTGTCAGTCAGTGGAGGGATTGCCGTGACGTCACTCAGTGTTATGAATTGGAGGAAGAAGTGTGCTGGCTGCGGTGTTCAGGCTGACAATAGTGGGGAAGCCATAGATACTGAAATACTGAACTGTCACCCCTGTGCTGAGCTGGTCTGGGCAGGAGTGGGCCTGCTTTGTGCTCTTCAAAAGAAAGGTTATTACTGATGAGCTGTGCATGCACTGTGTCTAATAATAAAAGGTTATGAATGTCCTAAATACTCTTTCGAGTTGTCATGCCTCCACATGTTGGAAACAGGAACATTAATGTGTCACTTGGAGACCCTCGGTGCATGTTCAGCATCAGAGTGGCACGGCGCCCTTGGTTGCTAGGATGCTGTGCAGCTGACAGCATCCTAGCAACCAGTAATACATTATCTGCCCCATTCAGCTGCCAGCCGGGCAACCTCACTGAATGTAAACAACAGAGGGGGGACATCATTGACCAAATATGGTCATTATGTAGCCACACTTGTGTGCAAACACCCAGCCAAGACTACTTCCTGTCATGCCAAGGATCCATGAGCACTGGCAGCATGGAAGCCTCCGCCCCAAGCCACTCCCCTTACTACCATAAAGGCTTCAAATGACAGACGGGCACATATGTGCTTAAAAGAAAAACTTGTATATAGCGGGGGTTAGTGTTCTGAATTAGGAATATTCATGTACATCTAAAAGCTGCAAGGAATCATGGGACTTGTAGGCCCCGAACGTGATATTTCAATGATGTAAACTGCGCCCGCTCTCTGACTGGACGCTGAGGAGAATCGAGCAAACAGTTTATAAAAGATGGAAAAGTGAGTTCTTTGGGATCCTTCGAGATAAAATACTATATAGTTACACTTTGGTGGACCTGAGAGGGAAAATGAAATATTGCTGTGAGGGTGTAATACCACTTTAATGGCGGTCCCACAGCTCCTTTGCTCTGCAAGTATGGCCGCTGTGTGGCGCCCGGTGTCCTCACACCCTTTCCCTGCTTTTATTTCCAGGCTCTGCTTCCTGAGTGGTTGGGTCTCCGGTGGCAAATGATCTTCCAGCTGTAGTAGGCGCTGACTTAAGAAAAAAATAAAAATGATATATATATACACACACATTGGAAAGAGTAGAGAGAACAGGAGCACTGCACCAAAGGTTTATCAGTCCAAGTCTATTTATTTAATCACATATGTCCAAAGAAAGCAAACCAGCACGTTTCAGGGGTATACGATTCCCCCTTCGTCAGGGTCTGAAGGCTTAGTCCACCTTTGAGACCATGTTTTATTTAATACCTATATTTATGGTGTAACACGAAGCATGGTGGCATCCCTCTTCCCTGGAACCAGCCCCTCCACTTACCCGGATCGCCTTGTAGCTTTTTGAATTTAGCTCAGTTGTGTGCTGCTCATCCTGCGTAGCTGCTTAATTTTTTCACACGGATCTGGGAATAGGAAAACTACAAGTCCCATCTGCCACATGGCACAGGGACACACAGACCACGCCGGCAGCAGGGCGGTGACGTCACCACACTTGTAGTTCATTGTTTACTTCCTACAGCCCCTTAAAATGATCGTCTACCATTTTCCCCCTCCTAAAGCTTATGTAAAGACTTAGCTTCTATGGAGCCTCCTGATGTATACAAGATGTACGTTGGCTGGATGTACGCTGCTTCTACGTGCTGTGTCCTGTAACAGTGTGTGTTTCTTTGCAGTGCTCCCCACGGTGATGGCGCAGGGAGTCACGGGCAGCGTGGCTGTAGCCTTACACCCGCTAGTCATTCTAAATATTTCCGATCACTGGATACGAATAAGATCGCAAGAAGGTCGCCCGGTGCAAGGTAAGACACTGATTCCACCTGTGAGGCTGAATCTCAGGAGCCTTCCATACTATGTGCCTTAAATGTTGCCTCACAATCTGATTGTAGAACCTTCTTTAAGCGGGCCATACACAGAGCGAATTTCGGATGGTTCTTGATGAATCAGCCCAAAACTCGCTCTGTATGTGGCCCAGTCAGCAGCCTTCCGCCTGACTTCCTTCAATGTGAAAATCCAAGAAGCCAGGGCGGGAAAGTTCTCAGCCGAACAATGAAAGGCAATGGCAGTGTATAGCCAGCTTTAGATTTACCAACCTTCATGTAGTATACATCCTTGCTCAACTAGGGGGCCTTCTGACTTCCACAGGGGTCCCTTGAAATTTTTGAACAGAGTCATGCGTTTGCATGGAGCAGGCAGGTCAGCCACCAGCACCATTAAAATGCATGGCACTGATCCAGGGAGGATAGAATCCATTCAGAAAAGGACATCAGTTTGCCTCCATCCAGACCTGCCCCACCTACTGCCTCTGCCCTACTGTCCCAGCTGCAGCTTCTGATGTGGAAGAGGGCGGCTCTGATGTGGAAGAGGGCGGCTCTGCTCTGATGTGGAAGAGGGCGGCTCTGATGTGGAAGAGGGCGGCTCTGCTCTGATGTGGAAGAGGGCTGCTCTGATGTGGAAGAGGGCGGCTCTGCTCTGATGTGGAAGAGGGCGGCTCTGCTCTGATGTGGAAGAGGGCGGCTCTGCTCTGATGTGGAAGAGGGCGGCTCTGATGTGGAAGAGGGCGGCTCTGCTCTGATGTGGAAGAGGGCGGCTTTGCTCTGATGTGGAAGAGGGCGGCTCTGCTCTGATGTGGAAGAGGGCGGCTCTGCTCTGATGTGGAAGAGGGCGGCTTTGATGCAAAGGGGGTCCTAGTAAGATTCCGCTGATATTGTACATCTCTTGGTGACAACAATGGTGAGATCCCTACACCTGAATTCACAGTTTGACCTCCATCTGTCTTCTATTATACGGGAGTCCCTGAGAATCTCCTATTATTTTACATTCTGGAGATACAAGACTCCTCGGTACGGGGTACTAACCAGGAATTCTGGTAGGGAAGCCTCTCTGCTGGTGACAACAAGAGATAGGACAATGCAGTGGGATATTCACCCCGTCCAGTTTGTATTCAGAATATCCCATTGTCTTTGCTTACCTATCTCTGACTCTTTATTGTTACCTGTGTCCCCGTGTGTCAGCTCCTTCTTACTCGGTGTCTCTATCTCTGACTCTTTATTGTTACCTGTGTCCCCGTGTGTCAGCTCCTTCTTACTCGGCGTCTCTATCTCTGACTCTTTATTGTTACCTGTCCCTATGTGAGCTCCTTCTTACTCGGCGTCTCTATCTCTGACTCTTTATTGTTACCTGTGTCCCCGTGTGTCAGCTCCTTCTTACTCGGTGTCTCTATCTCTGACTCTTTATTGTTACCTGTGTCCCCGTGTGTCAGCTCCTTCTTACTCGGCGTCTCTAGCTCTGACTCTTTATTGTTACCTGTCCCTATGTGAGCTCCTTCTTACTCGGTGTCTCTATCTCTGACTCTTTATTGTTACCTGTCCCCGTGTGTCAGCTCCTTCTCACTCAGGGTCTTTTTATCTCCTTTGCAGTGATCGGCGCTCTCATTGGGAAGCAAGAGGGAAGAAATATAGAGGTAATGAACTCGTTCGAGCTCCTGTCTCAGAATGTCGAGGACAAGATCATCATCAACAAGGAATATTATTATACTAAGGAGGAGCAGTGTGAGTATAGACAACTCTTAGTTGCTTAAAGATGAAGTTTGATCTGCTTATATTTTGCCTTTCCTGGTCCCCCCCCCCCTTCCTCGTCAATATTCTAATGAAATAAAACCTTAAATATTTTTATTAGAAATACCTTAAACTATAACATTAAATAAAACCTTACCATTTTCATGACCTTGTTTTATACCCAGTGATGTCATCTTTTGGTCTCTGTGAAATGCAAGCAGATCATAATCCTAGCTGGTGGGAGGGACCAGCAGGGCGCTGTGATGTTTTCAGGAAGTTATGTATAGCACCCTGCCGGTCCCTCCCACCAGCCATGATCTGCCTGCATTGCATAACGTACTCCTCAGTACTCCTCTCAAGAGCCCTCAGCCATAATTGAAGCAGTGGGCTGCCTCTTGGGAGGAGTCATGCAAATATCACAATGCCTTGGTTGGTGGGTGTCAGTTTGGAGGAGTGGGTGTTCCTAGGCAGGCTGCATTTGCATAAGTCCACCCTAGGTAACGCCCACATGTAACGCTGAGCCTCCATGACTATAAAAACTGAAATTCAATGAATGAAAGGGACCGGCCTAGGACAGTCAGGCTGGGGAGGGAAGTAGGGCTGTAACAACTAATCGACATAATCGATTATTGAAAAAGTTGTCAACTTTTTCAATAATCGATTAATCGGCTTCCGATCAGTTGGCCCTGTAAAGTGAGAAGCTGGCAGTGTGCAGTAAAACCAGAGGAAGCAGTTTCAGTCCAGGAGAGGAGCCGGTACAACCGTGTAAGACTGAAGGACATCCAGCAGAATGTATCTCTGCCTGCCCTGCTTTAAATGTCTGTCATAAGAGAAGTACATTGCTGTGACTTCACTGCCCCTCGTCTAATTAGAGAACGCGCTGAACGGCCAATGCGACGAGTGGGTGACCCCCTGTGTTCCTACTCGCTCTGCTCAGCAGCTGTTTCAGGATCCATATGGTCGCTGTAATACATTTGTAGTCCATCTGATCCAACTAATTCTCCTTTCCTGACTTTTTTTTTTTTTTTATATATGTGTTTAGTTAAACAAGTGTTTAAAGACATGGAGTTCCTGGGCTGGTACACAACCGGAGGACCCCCAGAACCGTCTGACATTCACATTCACAAACAGGTAAAGGTTACTTTAGATCAGTGCTTCTCAACTTGTGTAACCTCAGGACCCACATTTGTCATCGGTCATTAAGTCGTGACCCAAGTCGCACTGCAATGGAACGCAAGGCAACGTGGGCTGCTGTGCTGTGATGGAGCTCCGTCCATATGTGCATTGCTTGTGGAGCTCAAATGTGTACCTGTAGAGGTGCCGGGAGCCAGATTGTGATCTCACTCCAGTCCAGGCACCTCCACAGGACATGCAAGGGGGCTATAGGGAATGCACCTATGGAGGTAACTCCTTGGCGGCCATACCCCCAGCCCACCCCACCTCAAGTCAACACTTGCGCTGGGCAGCATATGTTGAATGGCTGCTCATTGTAAGAACTGACAGTGCTGCGCTAGGGGGAGGCTGAGGAGCCTCTCGCCTAGAAAAGTGGAAGGGATGCAGTGACCCAATGAACATGGGGTCGCGACCCACTTTTGGGTCACGACCCACCAGTTGAGACCCAAGGCTTTAGATGGTTATTAAAAATTGGGTTTGACATGCCAACTTCTCTCCAAGGATATTACAGTCTGTGTTCCTATAGCAGTCACACAGGAACACTTTGATCAGGAAATAGTGATAATATACAATACAACACAAAGGGGGTTTATTTATAAACCAATCACACAGCGAACAGCTCTGCCAAAGATATCCACAGCTCATTATAGCCACTAGATGCAGCCAATGGGAATAGAGAATCCCTATGGTCCTCGGCCCCATCCAGTGACCATAATGCACTATGACTCTCGTTTGCAGAGCCGTTTGCTGTGCGAATGGTTCATAAATAGGCCCCCAAAATTCTAAACGGTTTCAACAAATTACTTTTAAAAACAGGTTTTCATAAATCTATGTAAAGCCACCTTAGGGCTCCTACGCAAAATGTGGCCCCTAACTGTAGTCTGACCGAGCTCCCATTGTGGGAGATTTATATAGCAATGAATACATTGATAGCAGATCTGCCTTGGAGGTAGCCCATTGCTCCTTAAAGGTGCAGGGACACACCAGGAGCCCAGACTCGCTCAGTAGCAACGGAAGACATCTACGTAGTAGCTATGTGGATAAATCCAGCAAGAAAAGAAAAACGTCATCCAGGCTGATTAGTCAGCTGTGACGTCGAGGGGTTGCCATCGGTATCCTACCAAAAGCCGCATTCTTCCCTATGAAGAAACACTGGGGGGATTTCTTAAAAAAACTGGAGCAGTTGCCCATAGCAACCAATCGGTTCCTTTTTTCAGTTTGTTTAGTTTGGCTTGAAAAATGAACCAGATTTGTTGCCATGGACAACTGCTCCAGTATTTATGAATTCCCCCCTCCTTGTCTGTGTTCACATACTCTGGAGAGAACTGTGCAAGGCCTGGAATGCTTGTTGGGATGGGGGAAGCTTTGGATGGATGGGAAAATCCAGAGTTTCCTCCATGGCACCAAGCATTCGAGGCCTTGCCTTGCACAGTTCTCTGTCTTGCACAGGGCAGATACTTACAGGAGAGGAGAGCACAGGCTTGACCTCGGCTGCTGCTCCTTTGTTGTGGAATCTTGTGCTAGAGCGGGTGCTGGACCAGACTGTATTGCTGAGCTGCAGAGAGTTCCAGGATGAGGCCGTTGTGTCTGGCAGTGTTTGGATTACTGGCTGGACAGAATTATAAATCCTCTGCCAGGTAGAACAGTTGTCATGTATTTGCTAAATCTCTGGGTTTAAATACCTGTGAGTAGTTTTTGTTGTTGTTGCTCTATCTCTGCTATAAGACTGTTTGTCAGTCCGCCTTCTTGTGTTAAAGGAGAACTATGAGGTGAGTGCTTTTCACTCATCCTCATAGTTCTAGCCGACCTGTGACAATGAGACTGTCACAGGTCGGCTCAGTAGATCGGGAGGTGAGCAAACACATACCGGCGTTCGCTCACCTCTCGATCCTGTGGAGGGGCTGGATTCCCCTCTCCCCACTCCGATCCTCCAGCGCTGACTGGCGGAACGGACGGGGGAGGGGGCGGGTCCAGCTGGCTCTGCCTCTAGATAGGCAGAGCCAGCTGTCAGTCACACAGCTGGGCGGATCCCGGCATAATTGTCGGGATCCGCTTCAGCTGCGGCGTCTCAGTATACCGCAAGCTACAGCTCGCAGTATACTGAGCCTAGGGTGACGGGAGGACGCTAGTTTGTGTCCTCCTGTTACCCTAAGGAGAACTATGGGGAAAAGCCTTAACCCCATAGTTCTCTAAGTCTGAATCATGAGAACGCCATAATAAATCAATGTTGTTTCCTCTCCAGGTTTGTGAGATTATCGAGTCCCCGCTCTTCCTGAAGTTGAACCCAATGACCAAGCACACAGATGTAAGCTTCCCCATGCAGCCGTACGCCGCTTCTGTTCTACTGGATTGTTACGTCTTATCTTTAATACGTTCTCTTCTCTCACAGCTTCCGGTCAGTGTTTACGAGTCAGTGATCGATATTGTGAATGGAGAGGTGAGTCCAGTTGCTTCATTGCCTGATACTCAGAATGCCAAGTGCATACGCGGTACAGCTTTGCAATACTTACACCTCTCCCCATGTTATATCCCTGTAAAGTGAAGATTTGTTGTGTTCTAGGGAATCTAGGAGTGTTAATTGTGTCTAAGCTGTACCCTGAAAGGTTTACCTTAGCCCTGAACTTCCTACTATGTGAGGGTGCCTAGGCACTCCTGCTCTGAAGCCTGATGGCTGTATATCTGCAGTATGAGATCTAAGGCACTGCTGCATCTGACTTCTAGTCCTGAGGAGATCTGGAGTGAGATTTGATGTCACTACTGTGCTGATCTGGCAAAGTGACAGTGTCACCTAAACTATTGCCTTCTGTATTTTAAACTTAAAATGTCTTCCTGTCTCTTTATTGGCTGCTGCGACTGTCAAGGTCTACAGCATTGTGCCCAGCTCTGCTTTATAAGCTCAATTTTGTATTCTGAAGTAAAGCTGTGCTCTGCTCATGTACATAACGTCACCCCTTCCCAGCAGCGCATACCTTACGTTTCGCAGCTGGGCGTGAAGATTGGTACCAAATACTTCCAGATATGGGGGCTCAAGTGACATACTTCCCTTCCTCCCACATCACAGTGTTGCCAAATGGGGGCGGCAAGTCAAAAATCTCCATGTTATCAGCTGTCCCACAAGGTGCTTGCAGCCCAAAGCTATAGAGTCACCTTGGGTGACTGCACTGCTCTTCTATAGATACAGTACTGTAAGTGAATGTTGTCACCCTAGGATAGGAAGTGTTATACTGGTGTTCTATCGAAAGCTCCGACTGGTCGACCTCTCCGACTGGGCACATCACATCCGGTGACTGCCAGTAGGAGATGTACAGCAGATGGAGCTAGTGCGCATGGGCAGAAAATCCTTCTCGAACTGTTGCCACTGTGCGGCTCATCGGATTCTATAACCTAGTACACACTTATATTTGTCCTAGGTTATAGAAGGCGCGCATGCGCAGTGGCAACTGTGGTTGTAGAAAGAATCGCGTGGGCATGGGCGCTGTAACATAATATAACCTTTGACTAGGTTATAGAATCCGATGAGGCAATAGCCACTGCGCCTGCGCGGCTCATTGGCTTCTATAACCTAAGACACATATAACCGTAGTATGTTATACAAGTGGATAGCAGCGCAGGTGCTTTGGCAATAGACAGTTGGACAAGGATTTCCTGGGCATGCGCACTAGCACCATCTGCTGTAAATCTCCTACTGGCTGTCGCCGGATGTGACGTCACCAGTTGGAGAGGTCAACAGGTTGGAACTTTCGATAGAACGCAGGATGATCAGTACAGAAATCCTAAATGAAAGCACTGTTCACAAAACAAATGAATGGGGTTCCTAAACATTTCAGATGTACCATCTCCTCGGTCTTCCTGGCCCCAAGAATAGTTCTAGCCAAGTGCTAGAAAAAAACCTTGAAATAATGGAAACCAAATGAAACTGGAGTTATAATCAATGACGAGGTCTCCATCATCTTGGGTAGCAGACACAGTTTGAGAAGATATGGAGTCCTTGGATACAGTACATATCCATAGACTACAGCGACCTGCTGGAGGACCTTCCTGCTATTCCTCTCTCATCCAAGTCTTTCTTGTGAATATTCCTGTAGGTTTCATGACCTTTTATAATGTGGAATTGCCCCTGATCACCTCCAGCTATATTATTATTATTATACAGGATTTATATAGCGCCAACAGTTTGCGCCGCGCTTCACAATATAAGGAAGACATTAGAATCACAAGACGAGGAGGGCCCTGCCCGTGAGAGCTTACAATCTAAAAGTATATGTTGTAGTTTGGCAGCTAGTATGTACTGTAGGAATATCACGTGTTGTCAGATCTACAATATACTCCAAATAGACAGAATTCCAGGACAAGACATCTGGCAATGCCCTTTTATTTGTAAGATTCTGAAAGTTTGAACATCTGCGCTACTCACTGCGGTCTTATTTAAATCATCCCTTTTCATACACCCCCCATCTGTCCCTTTCAGGCCACCATGCTTTTGGCTGAACTTCCATACACTTTGGCAACAGAGGAAGCAGAAAGAATCGGCGTTGACCATGTGGCTCGAATGACGGCAACAGGCAGCGGAGAGAACTCGACAGGTGAGAGGGAAAGGTGATGGGATGGTAATGAAAGGGGCAGGTACACTATATGACACTGCACCATCACACCGGCTATTTGGTGAGAACTATGGGCATACCCTCCAGATTATATGGTAAGGGTATTGTTTATTCTGCAACATACCAAGAAGACATTTTAGAGTATTGCGCACTTCCAACCTTGTGGTAGCAATTAGGGAGAGGCCCTTCTCAGTCCCAGCATGGCTGTGTCCCGATCCACAAAGCCAGCTCCATAAAGACATGGTTTGACCAGTTTGGCAAAGAGCAGTAGTTCTCAACCTTTCTAGAGCCGGGACCCCTTGGTAACATTTGGCAAGTTGTGGTGACCCCCAACGGAAAAATGATTATGTTTTATTATTATACTTATGATTGCACCAATATCGTTTTTTCCGTATCGAGTACAAGTAGAAATGTTTTCTTCGGTAATCCCCAATACCATTTCTGTGTGACCTAATTATCAAGAAGCTGGGTGGCGGATCATGACCCGCCGCCTGGTTTCCTTATTTTCTGGGAAGCCGGTGTTCTATCGAAAGAACACCGGCTACACTTCCCGAGGCTGCCTGGATGAGGTTGGCGCAGTTAAGCTGTAACATCTCTGATCTTCTTTTTTCAGGAGAGGTTCCCTTCAATCACGAGATTCTTCGGGAGGCCTCGGCTTTGTGTCATTGCCTCCCTGTACTCAGCACAGACAAGTTCAAGACAGATTTTTATGATGTAAGTCTGAACGTTATGTGACCTCATTTCTCCACAGGGTTCATTTCAGATTCACCACCCAGTTTAAGGGCCCGTTCACACCAGTTGCAATGCGTTCCGGCCTGATTCTGGCCAGAACGCACTGCCTCGCATTGCGACCGGCTCACTTTTTAGTGGAGCAGTAGGGGGCGTGGCGAAATGAAATGAATGGTCCGGTGCGATCAAAATGCTGCAAGCACTATTTTGATTGCACCGGACCGCAGACACAATGTGCCTTGCGATCCCGTGCAGGCGATCGCATTGCGGCCGGAGGGCATGGCTACGGTGCCATTCACTTCAATGGCTGCCACACCCCCTCCTGCCCCACTAAAAAGTGAGCCGGCCGCAATGCGAGGCAGTGCGTTCTAGCCAGAATTGGGCCGGAACGCACTGCAACTGGTGTGAACGGGCCCTAATGTGTTCCTCACAGTTGCACCCCGGACTCGGGAACATTCACGAACATGTTGTATGTTTAACCCCTTCGCGCTGGCCACACAAATGTATGTGGCAGCATGGTGGTGGGCTTTATGCTGTACCGACACACATATATATGAGTGCAGTGGGTGGTGGTCTTTTGTGCTGGGAGCGCACTCAATCGCGCGCCTCCAGCACCGTGACCAAGCTGTCACCGACAGCTCCTATTGGTAAGAAGGGCTCCTGATCACGTAAACAATATGACTGCTAATAACAGTGATCACATGATCAGAATGTAATACAGCTAGGTCACCTCCCCGACTCAGCCTATAATCATGCAGCCAAGGAGCAACAGCAGACTGATGTGCTCATCATCCCTTTGCTCTCTCCTCCTGTCTGCAAGTTCCTTCTCAAGTTCAGGGAAGTTTGATATCTACATACAGATTTTAAATTCTGCTAATAAATAGCTTCATATGTTCATATGCGGCATACTGGCCCTTAGACGAGGTAGCTGCTACTGACTGCACTGTATGTAGGAAAGCCAATTAGCCAATCAGTCCAAAGAATATGCTGACAGGGGGACAAAGCAGAGTAACAGAGAAATGAGCTCAGCACTGCTGATCCTTCACTTTCCAGCCACAGGCTGGCAGCCCAGTGTTTGCCGTCATTTAGCCTGGAAGACTGAGGACATCTTGTGGAATACTGCACAAGGACAGCTCTGGAGCTTTCTCTGCAAGGCTTTAATGATCACAGAGCTTTCTCTGCAAGGCTTTAATGATCACAGAGCTTTCTCTGCAAGGCTTTAATGATCACAGAGCTTTCTCTGCAAGGCTTTAATGATCACGGAGCTTCCTCAACAAGGCTTTAATGATCACGGAGCTTCTGATGCAAGGCTTTAATGATCAGAGGTTTTACAGGACACATACAATGCTCTGACAACGGACGTTGTTCAAACCATTGCTTGCAAATATCACTGTGTGTATGTCCGGCTTAAGTCTTCGTCTTTACTTCCAGCAATGCAACGACGTGGGCTTGATGTCCTACCTGGGAACCATCACCAAGACCTGCAACACCATGAACCAGTTTGTCAACAAATTCAATATTCTGTATGACCGCCAGGGGATTGGAAGGAGAATGAGAGGCCTCTTCTTCTGAATGGTCTTCTGATGAAAGCAATACGTGACCATGCTTCTTTTCTGTGATTTAAATGGACTTTAGCAAGGAAAACAGCAACCTTTTGCTCTGTTATGTTGTTATTATAGGAAATAAATGAATAAAGGTATATTGCATATGTTCATGCTATTTCCCAAGGTGTTTGATGCTGGAAAGATCACATGGCCTGATACTTTGTTTCTGTAGAAGAATTGTATAGCATAAGAGAATTTAAAAGACCTAAAATGGAACACTATGGATTGGATTTTTTTTGGGGGGGAGGTTAAGTTTTAAAAGCAGTTTTCCTATTCTGCAGTTTTCCCCTTACGTCCTGTCTTTGGATTAGGGGTGGTAGTGTAAAGCAATCTCAAGTTAAAGGAGACCTTGCATGAAAATACAGAGAGCACTTTTGTTAACTCCTCCCCCCCTCCCATAAAAGAACAAAACAAAAATATGAAAGCTGCCAAATAGGATAGTTCGTCTTCCCATTAAGGGACACAGGATTTCAGATACAGCTGGGTTATACTATTGCCTGCAGAAGAGTTGGACACTGGCAAATAGAAACATCATAGGCCGGCCCCCAGTATACCTCCTTATGTCCTAGAACAGGGCTTCACAAATATCATGGGGCCAGTTAGCCAATGCTCCTTAAAATTCTAACTGGCACCTAACTTTTCTCTAGTTGTCAATGGAGCGGGCTCCTACAAAAAAAAACTGGCTCCTGGATTGCACAGTCTAGCTCCTGAATTCCATATTAATTTGTTCACCTGTCTTAGAAGGATGGATATCTTTTACCAACTCCAATTATGCAAATACAATAAACACCTGGTTGTCATTAACAGATTATGTGGATTGGAGCGACATTCACCATATTTATTCCCAGAGAATTCTGTGTACAAGTCATTCTGAATTGAGAAAGCTGGTCGGATGTCCAGTGAAACGTCTTCAAGAAAAATACAGCGAGTCCAGTTGCCTTGACTTATTCTTTACAGATATATCTTTTACCAAGCTTTACTGAGAAAAGTCCAATTTTTGGTTCTTAGCCACTTGCGTGGATGTCTTTAAATTTCCTTTTACTGTGGTAAGGGTTAATTTGAGGGACTGAGCGCTGACATGAGTGAGTGGATTGCTCACATTGATCACGGTTATACACATTGTTGCAGCTGGTGTTTTCACATAGTTTTTCCAGCGCAACTAAATTGGTTAAAATGAGTGAGTGGAGTGTTGCGCATGCGTGGTCTTTCTCACGCTGTTCAGGGTAGAGGAATTACCACCCTGCTTGCAAACATCTCATTGAACTCTAGTGCTACCACTGCCTACCTATGGTGACATGGTCACCTTTGGCCACCTGAGCCTCATCGGAACCAGCTGCCCGACTTTTGTGCTTTGGGCCCAGTTGCATTACTGTTGCATGGCAGCAAAATGCCTGCACAGAGACAGCCCCACTGCTACAGGTGACCCCAACCCATATTTCTCTAGTAGTTCTGAGAGTGTTTACTGGGTGTCCTCTAAGGGACCTGGTGCATGTAATCTAGAACCTGGTACCTCTTTTGTTACAGGGCATTCCTCAGATCGGGCTTTGCTTTGTCCTCAGTAGGGATGAGCCGAACACCCCCGTGTTGGGTTCTAACTCGAACTTTCGAACATGGAAAAAGTTCTAATTCGAACTTAGAACTCAATGAATACACAGAAGTCTATTATAACAATCTATAACTCTCTATCAATCTGCTGTAACTAACTATACTAGAACCCTCTTTCTCTATCTCCTACAACACACTACATAGGGCCGGTGTCAGCAGCCTTATATAGTGTGATGCAGGGACTTAGCTGTGAGACATGATTGGGCAGAGTCATTCGAATCGAACATAGGTTCGACTCGAACGTGCAGCCCATCCCTAGTCCTCAGGTACTTTTATATCGACCATGTATGCTCAACTCTTTGCACACATTGACCAGAGTCTCAATGCACTTCAAGCTCCATTTCCTAGTCTCTCTGACCCTCCAGAGGTCTTACATCATATGAAACTAGAGTCCCAACAGTCTATTTCTGAAAAGGCACCACAAATCTCTCGTCCCCTTATAGTTACAGGGGGTCAAGCCAGACCTTATTGAGGCAGTGCATACTACTACCCTGCCATCGCCAATCTTAGGTCTTTAGGATCCCCACTGTTCCAAAGGCATTCCTCTATGTGGACTGGAAGCAATCTGAGTGGTCCTGGGTCCCACCTAGGGTTGTGCTGGAAATATGCCCCTTTGAGAGTTTAATGGCGGACTGTTCCCACTGTGGCTCAACCAGTCAGTGTACCACCTAAATAGGAACTAGTCAGATGAAAGGTGTGCTTACCTTTAACCGCTTGAAGACCAGGTGTTTAGACCCCCTTCTTGGCCAGGCCATTTTTCAGTATTCAGTAATTTTTAGGGGGGAAACTTTAAATTTTTTTTTTCTCACTTAACTTTATTGCTATCACAGAGGGGGCTAAGAAACCCCTCTATGTGATACCAAAAGAAGTGACAGGTCCTCTTTATGGAGACATCAGGGGTCTCCAAATGTCACCTAGGACCCCCCCCTGAAGAAGCAGAGATCTGCTTCATCAGCTTCTCTCCAGAATCTGAAGCTGGAGAGTGACACAAGAATGCGGAAGTAATGTACAACACTTCCGCATTCTGACAGGGGAGAGGGGACCGGAGGGAGCTCGTGAACCGACCTCCCTCTCATCCCATCAGAGAGCCACTATGCTGGTCCCGGGCTCAGCGCAACAGCGGGCGGGGGGAGCTGCGGAGCACACATACCGGTACCCCATACAAGCGATCCGCTTGTATGTTAACGGGCATCGCTGCCAGTTTTTAAATTGTCTTTCCCACGCGAGTGGGCGGGACTAACAGGACGTGTATACACGCCCAGTTATATCCAAGAAGGTCCTGGTCGGCCATGTATACACAACGGCTGGCCAGTAGTTAAAGATTATACTGATAGGCAGTATCCTTTCTCAAATGCCAGTTTGCACTGGTTGGTTTTGTGGGTAATCCTATGCTGGGGGCAGTCAGCTTATTGTCTCATCATCAATAGGTGGGTTCAGCACCTACCACTCTCACCTATATGATGAAGTTCCTTCCTTCTCCAATACAGGCTCACTCTACTAGGTGTGGTTGTGCTTTTTGGCCTTTCAGCATCAGGCTTCAATATCGCAAATCTGTAAGGTTGCCACTTGGTCCTCTTCATACTTTTGTCAAGTCAAAATTTGGCCCTTTGTGGATGCGTGCGTCAACCACAAGGTTCTTCCGGTGGTCCTCTCTCGTTAGTTTCCTGTGGGATGTGTTGTGTTGCCCACCCCTCTGTTGGGTTGCTTCTGGAAATCCCATCCATGCAAGAGACAACCGGGGTCCTGATGTATGTTCCACAAAACAGGATTTTTGTCTTACCTGCAAAATTGTTTCTGTGAGTCTATTGAGGGACATGGATCTCACCCCTCTGTTTTTTTTTGTGTATGTCCTTAGTACCGCTTTACCACTAATACTAGGGGCAGGCTTAGGATTTCATTTTTTTGTCCAATACTTCTGTAGTTTGCAGTAGAACCTGACATATCTGAATGCTTGTGTAGCTCAATAGATTCCAAGAAATAGTCTAATTCTGTAAAGTCTAATTGCAGCAAAACCATATCAGGAGCTCGATCATAAACACAGCTGGATGGAATCTACATCCCTCAATAGACTCCCATAAATGGATAGTTGCAGCAAAGTAAAAAGAATCCCATTTTCTCTCTTATCCATGGAGGACACAGGCATTCTTAAACTGTTATAATGTCCAAATGCAGTGGGGGGTGGGCAACAGGAAATGAAATGCTAACAAAATGTTAATAAGGTACCTGAAGGTCCTAACAACCGAAGCATCAGATAAGACATGAACATCCACATTAGGGCTGCAACCAACTAAATCAATTATGAGAATAGTTGTCAACTATTCTCATTATCGATTAGTTGGTTGGATCCCCTTGCTCTTTCCTCGACTCTAGGAGGGCACAACAAGCAGTGGACAGGTGCCATAGCCAGCCTGCTATTGCTATTTGAAATGGCCAATAGCAGGCTGGCTATTGCATCAGCCCAATACCTGCTGTATTTACATTCAGCTGCAGTCTGCATCTTGCTACTGGCAGATGTCATTCCCTGGCTGAAGCTATTCAAGTGCCATGTGCTTACAATAAAAAAATAATTTTTTAAATAAAAGTGGGAAGAAGTCTTTTGGTTTCAGCCCGACAAATTCTGCTGCAGGGGTGCATTGCAGTGCCATTCATTTTAATGGACCCCAAATGCGCCTCCCACCCACAGTGTGATCGCCCACACTGGAACGCACGGTACCACAATATCACGTGTTCCAGTGCAGTGCGATTGCAAAAAAATTGTGCATGCAGATTTATTCAGAAGTAAACTTTGTTTGTAACACGCCACATATGTGTATTTGATTTTAAATGAAGGATGGTATTTTTTTTAGTTGAAAAAATAAATCTGCCAATAGATTAAGAAAATCATCATTAGTTGCAGCCCTAACCCACATGGTAAAAAGGTGGAAATGGTTAATTATACCAGGTGGCACCTTTGTAAATCTTTTAGGAACAGTAACCTGATGCCAGAGAGACTAACAGATCTGGTGAAATGTGCCACAGGAAAGGGTGGCACTCAACCCTAAAATGATGGTCTGTCAAAGTCACACAAATGGTGGCAGAAGCTGGTTGACCCTCATGTGGACCATCAGGAATGACCATGTCAGTCTCTCTGAAGGAAGCACTGGCTACAAGAAACTCACAGCACACACTACATCCAGGCAGTGAAGGGAGATCTGATGAACTGATCCAGATGAAAGAACAATGTCCTGTTTGGAGGTGAAAGGACAAAACTACCTTCGATAGGAAGATCTGTGACATTACCTTGTACTTGTTTAAGACTAGAAATATTTCTTTACACAAGGCTGCCAGCTAAGACATTTACCCAACAGAGGTGATGACAAAATAAATGCACCCTTATGAAAGCTAAAAAGGAGAATACCTCTGATCAGTTCAAAAGGGCTGATTAAGTGTAAACAGAACCAAAATTCAGATGCCACAGAGTCACATGGGCCTCCACAAAAGTTTTAATCAAAGAATAGGAAGACCGCAGGCTCTGGAACAAGATCACAAGAGCAGAGACCTGACCCTTGATGGTGTTAAGAGCCAAATGCTGGTCCAGACTCCTCTGTAAAGCCACCAAAGTGCTCTTCACATGTGAACTGACATGAGATGGCAAACCTTCTGCAACCCATCCACAATAGTTCAGTGTAACCACCAATCTCCCCCCCCCCCCCCCCAAACATTCTATGATCAAAAGGAGGATCAATCTCCATAAGGACCAGATCCCTTCCAACAGCTTTTAACTAGTCAGTCATCGTTTGACAAAGCAAGGTCCAAGGCAACACAGGGTTCACAGCAAGGCCTGCCAGAGAACACTGCTCTAGAAACGGCCTCTGCCATTTGTTGGTTGGGTCCTTGAAGACTGATGCATCCTATCCCAGACACTGCTGCATCCACACAGAGGGAGCAGGCAATCTTTAACAAAATTCTTCTCAAAAGGCATTTTGAAAGGTGCAATGGGAAAATGTATCAACCTTGGTAGTTCTAAAGGATCCGAGCCGGGGACAGCATTCGCAACAGGCTAATTCTACAGTTCTAGCTATATTTTCTGCACACTACCGCACATGTATGGTGTGAACAGGGCACATAGGAAAACTGTGCACATTGGTGTGCAGAAAAATGCGGCTCACACACGGTGTGAATAAACCCTTGTGAGGCACCCAGTACAGCAGGGTTGTCCCCCCGGGTCTATTACATGTTCCAACTGCCAGGTGGTAAGGCAACATAGCTCTGGGTTCGAGGCAAAGCCTCAGGTAGTCTCAAACCCAACTGATGGTATGAGGCATAGCATCAGACAGCCAGAGGTAACCAAGTCATTGCAGGTGGTCCATATGCATAGATCAGTTTCAAATGACTGTTGCGAGCAGGAGGATCAGTGGTAAGGCACTTTAATAATGCTAAAACAACAAAAGAGCAAGGGGTGCACATGCTCAACATTCCACCCACCTAGTGGAGGATTTCCATGCTAGTTCCTCAGAGTGAATCCCTTCTGCAATAAAGCAGAAAATGTAAAAGGTGTCTATGGGTTCGAACAACAAGGTAGCTCCTGATGCTCAGCCTACTCTAGTCACAGTGGTTCAACTTTTCCTAGCAGAAACACACACACACCCCATATCCAATCTACCAGTACATCCTTAAAATTAGGGCATGCTGGTAGCAGTAGTTGGGAGGGGTTTATGCTGGGATAGCCTACAGTTTGCCAGCAGCAGTATACCCATCGAATTTCAGGGAAGCTGCTTAGGTAAAAATGGGAGCCATGTAGGAAGTTCCCTATAAGAAAGCAAAAATTGAATTCCAAATTGCAGGTCTTCTTAAAACATACAGCAGTGCAGGGCTCCAAAACAAAAATGACTTCCACTGCGATTCAAGTCTTTCCCCATCCCCTAGAATATACTACTTCTTCCATGATATAAGCTGTTGCCAATTGCTTGCACACAAGGATGGATTCAGTCTTACAAGTAAAAAAAAGTCTTTATTGAAATGACTCGAGAGACCATAATTTTCATTGTGCTCAGAAAGCTAGCCTCCATACTAAAGACCAGAAATACCTGAAGTCAACTAAAGGAAAAATATGCGTCAACATGTCATCTTAGTACTTGCACATCACTAACGGAATGTGCCACTTGGCATAACTAGATAAAATGCGTTTGCCCATAATTGTCCATCAGCCCTAACATGAATACGTGTCTGGCAGCGGCAAAGAATGTTCAATGCAAAGCGGTTTAAGCAAAAACTTTGAATACACCCAAATCATACAAAGGTGATCTTTGTCCGGGCTTGGTTGACCAACCAAACGTTCAGCTCCTCATACTCTTCCAAGGCAGCTTCAAACTGTGCTGGGGTGAAGCCTTTGGACACACAACGCTGCTCAGCTTCTGAATATTTGACGCTGCGTGCACCCTTCTCTGGAACCATCTCACGAATCGTGGAAAAGATCACATCAGCAGGTCTCTGTGTCCTGGAAGCAAAAGACAGACATACTTTGTCATCTATAGACCCAATACAAAGCCATGCAGTATAGGAAGAACAGGACATCCCAAAATCTGAGGATCAAGAGGCAAGCGAGGAGAAATAAAAGGATGACAGATTGGGTTTTATATAGTTTTACCTTGTGGTTTGTCCTTTGTCACCCATCAGAGAGTCTTTAGACATTTCCATTAGCCTCATCGCTTCGTTCACATCCTCTTTCTCAACAACATCTTCAAGACGCAACCGAGCCTATTAAAGAGTCACGTTGGCTTTAGCACAAATTCACACAACTCTTCAAAAGTAAAAGCTTATATGTTCAGATTTTTGTAGAACGAGCCAAGTCTCTAGAAAGCAGTGATCACCAAAATAAAATCGCTCTCCTAGCCACCCCTCACACAACTGGACTGGCTGGGGTGCCATCTACAGAGTTCTACAAAAATTATCAGCTGCCATTATTAAATCTGTATAGGCAGTTAATGTCACTGAAAGCATACTGGTAAATGCTGTGGACAAAGTCACAAGACGGCTATCTGTAGACCACTACATGTGCAGAACACAATCTTCCTAGACCTTGTTACCATGTGCCTGCAGATGCAACTAACCACTCAGCTGCAATGGCAGATCTGAAACTACAATTGTTTTGTTGGTACCATAGATCACAGTCCAGATCAGTCTCAATAAAGACAGAAGATAAACGGTGGTGACCAGATGAGAGGACTGCCACTCCTGACGTTTGCTAGTACAGAGCCATCAGATTTTCCCCAACTCCTGAAGGTCAAATATTTACTGACAACAAACGCATCTCTACATTTACAGGGATTTGTTGTGCACCTGACCATCACACCTATAGAAGCTTGTTGGACATTCCAAAGTCATGGGCATTATTGAGTTTGCCCACCTTGGAAGCTATAACCTCCTCACGATTTGCACCTATTCTGCCAAAAGCATTTGTGAGGTCAGCTACTGACGCCGGCATAAAGACTTGCAATTTGTGTTAAAAATAAATATTCGAGTTGAGGTTAGGGCTCTGTGCTGGCTATTCGAGCTCCTCCACACCAATAATCGAACTATCTTTATGGAGCTGGCTTTATGTACAGGACAGTCAGAGAACTATGGGGTTAGGGCTTTTCCCCATAGTTCTCCTTATGGTAACGGGAGGACACAAACTAGCGTCCTCCCGTCACCCTAGGCTCAGTATACCACGATCTGTAGCTCGCGGTATACCGAGACGCCGCAGCGGATCCCTACAATTGTGCCGGGACCCACCCAGCTGCGTGACAGCTGGCTCTGCCTATCTAGAAGCAGAGCCAGCTGTACTCACCCCCTCCCCCGTCCGTTCCACCAGTCAGCGCTGGCGAAGGTTAGAAGTGCATAACGGTCCTTGTATGCTGTAGCATTACCAGCACCATTCACTGGAAACAGCTGATCATGTAGGTGTGATGGGACTACAACAGTGCAGGCTATTGGGAGATGCAAGGCCTTCAAAATCTACATATGGACCACACCATTGCTATAAAAACAGAACAAATGTTGGGTACAGGCAAGCACGTTTTGCTCAAATTTGATTCATCACCATAAAAACAGGTAAAGGGTTTGGTTATTATGCCGTAGTGTTTTGCCAACACTGTCAGACCGAGACAAGTGCAATGCTCCTAGGACACACCAGCAGTTGCTCCTGTCTCTGCCTGTCAACATCGGCCTGTCTGGAGAAAAATAGGTGCCACTGGATTACTCCGCATGCGTCCACTCCAAGATGACTGGGGTCACAGGAAACTCGTGAAGTGCTGTCCTTACAGTAGGGCCATCAAACAGCTACCTGCACGAACAGCACTTTGGAGCGCCAAGGACATCTTTGCCCTAAAGAACATAGCATCGGGTTATCTCACGCCAAGTATTCCGACAGCAAGTCTCACCAGAGCTGTGGAGATTCGCAGAATGGCCAACAAGGTCCTTGGAGATGTGTATGTGGTGTCTTTATTGGTTCTGGCTTCTTTCCTCATCTCCACATAGGCTGCCGTCAAATAATCAGCAAGTGCTTCTGGGATTGCAGGTTGTTTTCTCTTGCACATAGTGATGTATCGCCGCATGAGTTTCATATCCAGAGCCTCGAACTGGGATGGTGGTTGTTTGCTGTGCTGGTGGACATATGTGATGTGCTGAGCCAGTCTAATAAAACAGAGCAGACTCCCATTAGTCAACTTGCCAAGGGGGGAAAAAAAAAAAATGCAGGTCATAAAAGGTGAATGGAGTGAAGACAAACTATATTTACCTGAGATCGTTTTCCCGATCTGGCTTGTCCTGGATTAGCCAAAGCAGGTCAAATCGAGAGAGTAAGGCGGCAGGGAGCTGGATGTTCTGCTCTATACTCTTCTTGGGGTTGTATCGCCCATAGGCAGGGTTAGCAGCAGCAAGAATGGAGCAACGAGCGTTCAGAGTTGTCATAATTCCAGCCTATAAAGAAACAAGTCACAATCAACACCTAACCAGTAATCTGTTTCCACAGTGGCTGTCATATTTTTGTTTCAGTATTCACTGCATCCTCCCCCCACTTCCAAGGTTAAGAGAATTAAATGCCTGTGATGGCCAGAGCACAAGAGCCAAAAAGTTAACTGCAACTAAGGAAAGGTTATTCCTCAATTTCCAGTAAGTGTTTTTATGGTTTCTAAATATGCCTTCAACATGATCACCACACAGCAGAAAGACAAAAGTTACATTTGTTAACCACCAATCAAGCATTATAATAAGAGTGGACACTTATTCTGTTTACAATAAAGACACTATACCTCAAAACACAGGACAGTTTAGCAGATGCCTACCTTGGCAATGGAGATGGTCTGCTGCTCCATGACCTCATGAATGGCTGTGCGGTCAGTGTCCATCATCTTGTCAAACTCGTCAATACAGCAGACACCCTGATCTGCCAACACCAGAGCGCCACCCTCCAGAGTCATCTCTCCTGTTACTGAATCCTTCATTACAGCAGCAGTGAGACCCACCCCTGATGAACCTCTTCCAGTTGTGTACTGACCTGCACGAGGAAAAGAAATGTCACAGAAAAGACGCCCGTTAGAGAAACTTCACAGCCCGATAGTAATGACCTAAAAAAAAGGCTAGTTGTCTAGCAGTGTCTGGTTTTAATGCCTTCAGAGAAGCATGCAGCCAGTTAACTCTGATCTGCATACCCGTTTTAAAGTAGGAAATCAAATAAACCCGAGTGCCAGCTTATCCCAATGGTTACCCTTGTAGTTCCAAGTTTGTATCTATGGCGGCCCTGGGGGGGGGGGTCAATGTAATTGCGAGAACCTTGGAGAGGGGAGGTTGACAACATTCATGATACTTACTGCGAGGAGCTAGACGATCGATGTATGACAGAAGCTGAGACTTTGCTACTCCTGGGTCTCCCATAAGGCAGATGTTTATGTTTCCTGAAAAGGTAAAAAAAATACATTGGAGCCAGATCGCATACACAATCTACACTGATGTGAAATCAAATCGCATCACGAGATTACAAGTCATGTGAAGACTTCGCTAGGACATCCACCATGCATCTGTGAAGTCAGTAGGTCAAGACATTAAAGTACCTCTTATCTTCATGCCACGGGGAGAGTGGTCAACACCACCCACCAGGAGAAGCAGCAGGGCCTTCTTCACATCCTCATGACCATAGATCTCTGGGGCGATGGAGGCTGCCAGCTTCTCATAGAAGTCTTCCTCTACAAAAAATAAAGTTCACCAAGTTATATCACTTTATTTTTGCAAAAAACACCGGCAACACTAAAGATATTTAAAAGGAGAACTATGGGGTCAGGGCTTTTCCCCATAGTTCTCCTTAGGGTAACGGGAGGACACAAACGCGTAGAAACTACACAAACTGTAGCCTGAGACGCCTGTACTGAGACGCCGCAGTGGATCCCGACATCGATATCCGCCCAGCTGCGTGAGTGACAGCTGGCTCTGCCTATCTAGAGGCAGAGCCAGCTGTAGCCGCCCCTCCCCCGTCCGTTCTGCCAGTCAGAACAGCGGATCGGAGCGGGGAGAGGAATCCAGCCCCTCCCCTGTCACGGCAGAGAGCCGTGACAGGATCGAGAAGTGAGCGAACGCCAGTATGTGTTCGCTCACTTCCCGATCTACTGAGCCGACCTGTGAGTCTCATTGTCACAGGTCGGCTAGAACTATGAGGTGAGTGAAAAGCACCCACCTCATAGTTCTCCTTTAAGGACACCACTTCCCCTCAAAAAAGGAATTTTCAAAATTTTTCCCAGAAGCTAAACCGCAATTATCTTACAGTTTCTGCTCACCTGTAATCTGTCGTAGTTCCTCCTCACTCAGCTCCTCTGTACCTAGCTCATCATCTTCTGTTTTATTCATCCTAATGATTCGGTGAGCCTCCAAATAGGTCTCAGAAAGAAGACCCTACAGGGAACACAAGAAGCCATTATGTACCGTGCTCTAATGAGCCGATTTGCTCACTTTTGGGCGATTTATACCAATGTTAACTGATGGTCAAGGAGTGGAGGGGGATAACAGAAGGAAAGCCAGTCCCATTACTGAGACTATAGGCTCTCCTGTGATTTGTGTCAGAATGCGGCCATACTGCTGGGTTTATGAATTGGTCCCTTAAGCTCATCTGCCTTGCCCAGTTTGTACTACACAACACTTCCCCTCGTGTTAAAGAAGCTGTCTGAAGTCCTCCTAACCTAGGGGGATAGCACTGCTCCTTTCCAGAGAGACAGTATGATGACTGAACATTGTCATATTAGAACAGGAAGAGTATTACCACCATCACCATTTAAAAAAGGAAAAAGCCTAAGAAACCCCAATACAGCCAGCACATCAAAAGGACTCTCAGGCCTTGTTCACACCAAATGCAGACCAGATCCAATTATATATATTTTTTTTTTTTTTTTAAGTTTAACATGGGCTTTCAGGCACTTGCATGCATTTTTGATGCGTTCCAGAGCAGGTAAAATAGGGCTTGCCGCAGTTTTTTCACCAGATCTGGATCTGCACGCTGCGACGCAGTTTTGATCCGGTCTGCACCTGCTACGCGCTTGGTGTGAACAAGGCCTAAGATGCATGGTGTTAATTTTCATGGTTTAGATGCAATTGAAATGCATCACCTGACTGATAACTCCGCACTCCGCACACCTACCTGCACTACTTGCCGAAAACCAGTTTTTAGCATAGGTAGGAAGATCCCAGTAATGCCAATGTGATCACCTGGCTGGGCCAGACGGGTATTGTCTCCGCGCACGAACACAGACATACAGCGAGGAATGTTACCAACCGGCACTTGGTCACTCTAAACATACAGAAAACAGACGGTTAGATGGAGGTTCTTACACGAGGTTAAACTTAATACAAAAAAAACAAACAAAATCACTTACGTGCTCTTGAATTTTCAGTTCCTGGAACTTGACAAACTTCGATCCCCTAGTCTGCAGGTAGAGTCTGCCACCTGACCGGTTAGTCTGACATTCTTTACTTGGACACATTATGAGAGGCATAAAGGTTGGAGACTGGATCTATAATAGAGCAAAGTTATATGAGATCACTAAACTGGAGGGAGTTTGCTGTGCACTGGAAGGTCGGTGGGGTTGTAGAGATTGAATGGCAAAAGATTTGCTTCAAAGAGGACCCGGTTGAAATCAGATTACTTACTGGTTGGTAAGTTTCGGCACCACACTGGTCACAGGTATAAGTGGCTACGACCATCATGGGTTTGACCTCTGTGACCCTGGTCACAATTCCTCTCACTGTAACCAGTTTACCGATTGAATCTGCCTTCACATCACGGACAACACGAGCCTTGGCACTGGAGGGAGCCTTGAAATACAGTTCACTGGAAGAGAGTAAAAAAAGTTATTCAGATATAGTTTTATGGCCAACAGTCAGTACCGTGTTTCCCTGAAAATAAGACCTACCCCGAAAATAAGACCTAGTTCGGTGGTAGGTCTTATATTACAGAAATCCCTGAAGATATCGCTAGGTCTTACCTTCTGGGTAGCTGCACATGTAATTAAATTTTACATGTGAAGACCGGCCGCAGCTCCCTCCTGCCCCCTCGCCCGCCCACCTGCACGCCCAACTATCCGTGGCTCTCTGGATGGCATCAGAGCGGAGAGGCAGCTCCCTCCCGCCCCCCTGCCAGACACGCCCCCCGGCCGCACGCATGCCCGCCCCCTCATCTGTTTCACACCCCCGCCAGAAAGGAGAGGCACCGGGGCCCACCCCCGCCAGAAAGGAGAGGCACCGGGGCCCACCCCCGCCAGAAAGGAGAGGCACCGGGGCCCACCCCCGCCAGAAAGGAGAGGCACCGGGGCCGACTCCAAGGAGGTTGGAAAATCCCCATTTGTAATGAGTGTTTTATCATCCTCCTATGTGGTCAGAAACCACCTGATCAATGCCACACTGACAACCTTTTGAAGATTTACTACTTAAAATCAAAACTGTTGCAACTTACAATCTTCTCATGAGCTCTGGTGGGTACTGGTTGTGAGGGTCCCGGGTGTCATTAGGGTCTCTGCCTCTCTGCTCCATCATTAACCGGTGTTCTATGTAGACATCCAGAGAGTCTTTATGCACAACCTAGGAAGAGTTATTTCACAAGCATTCAGTACATTTCCTCCAATATGTGTACATTAGCCCCATGCTTGGTCTCTTTAAAAATGCTGCAAATACAGAACACTACCCGGCGAGCACATCAGACATTTAGTGTGCTCCTTAGAGCTGCAGCTAACGATTATTTTCAAAATCGCTTAGTTAGCTGATTATTGAGTTCGATTAATCGGATAAACAATAACATACATTTTAAAAAATGGCTCCAGTGATGGACTACTAGTTTGTATCGAGGTTGTAGTCCATCACAGGAGCGAGCTTGGAGCGGTGGAAGTAAAAAAATGGTGTGGTGTGCAATATAGTCAAATGGAAAGTGTAAAATTATACAGCAATCAATGCAGAATGGCATCGGCTATAGAGGACTATAAATCCCAGCAATAGTACATTATACAGCACAATGCAGTTCCCTGTGCGAATCGTGGATGTGGGCGGGCGGTGAGTGTGAGGCGGGAAGGAGGTGCAGCGTGTAGAGCGCGGATGCGGGTGGGTCTGGCAGCGGTGGGCGCGAGTTGGGGAGGAGACGCGGTGCGCAGCGTTTGTGGACCCGTGAACAGGGCCAACTGATCGGAAGCCGATTAATCGATTATTGAAAAAGTTGACAACTTTTTCAATAATCGATTATGTCGATTAGTTGTTGCAGCCCTAGTGCTCCTTACTTCCTGCAGCCTGTCTGCCAGAAATCCACTGTAGGATTGGAAGTGTTACTGGCAGGATCAGCATGTGAAAGGAAACAAATCTAAAAAACAAATGCAGCTCCCACATCCAAGGACTGCAATATATTTAGTTCTTGATTAGATGCGCTTTGAGTGAGTTATAGCTTGGCAATCTTACCGTACAAGTGAGCTATTCAAATGTACACTCCTTCCAGCATGCCAACATCATAAATTGCTTTCATTGTGTTTTCAATAAGGAAACCATCATGGGAAGCACATTTTGTCTACCTACCCCTCTATAAACCAATACAGAGGTTGCCATTACTTCTGTCCGAACTCAGTCAATGAACTGGGACACGCATGATCTAGCAAAAGGTCAGATCATCTGATCTTTAGTCTCATTATTCCAGGTCAGTGACTAAGATACAAAAGCCTTTTAGCCAACAACCCAGCAAGCTGCATTTTTAAGAACAGCGTCCATTTACAAACTAAAGGAAACCTTTTAAAGAAAATATGTAAAGAAAATTGGAGTATGCCAAAGCTAAGCTACAGACCAGCTAGACACCAGTCAGGCTGTACCCACCTTTCTTTCATATCCCAACTAAAAGGCCCCCCAAAATAAACACTGCCAGGTAAGGGAAAAGCACAAAACAACATGGCGAATTTTCCCTCTCTAATACCCAAAAAGCCCCATGACCCTTATGAGAAGCTATCATTCCCTGCACTCACCTCTTTTTCTTTGTACTGAGGTAACAACTCCTGAACAGCATCAGCAAAGAGATTGGTGTATCTTCTGGTGTTCTCACAAATGGCATCCACCAGCTCCGGGTCTTCTTCTGCCAGGTCATCCAGATCTATGTAGAGAGCAACCTGCTCTCTGTGGGCAATATTTGTCTGAAACAGAAGTAGTGAGCTTTTACATTCACTTCCATTATCAATAAACACACAGCGGAATGGAGAGTGAAATGTGGAGTGCTGCCATACTACAGAAGTCCACAAGAACCAAGTGATAGAAGAGTAAAAAAGGCCAACAGACAATATTTTAGTAACACTCGAAATATTGGTAATAATGAACCCTCCCCCAATATGAAGAGAACACTCGGGAAAAGGTTTTACTGCCGTCATCCTGTCTGAGTGACACCCCCATACATTGTACTGTCACTGGATAACAGGTGAGGGGAATCTTCCCAATAAGACAGCAATGAGAACTGCAAAGTTCTGACCCTTCCCCACTGCAGCCAAAACATGTTTTATTGATAAAGAGTTGGGCTTTAATGCCAAAGAGTTGCTCAGGAATACTTGACAATATAGTCTTCTATGGCAGCACTACACTGTCCAGCTACCACCCCGAGTATGAAAAACAAAGAACTATAAAAGTTTTTAAAACTTTGCTTCAAACTTAACACCAGAATAAAAACAGACCACACACGAGCACAAGAACCCCAATGGCACTTACCAGCTGAGTTCCATATTTAAAGTGCTTCTTTCCAAACTCATCATCCTTGTAAAACTCCTGCAGGAAGGTTTTGCATTTTTCTAAAAATAAAGATGGAAAACTAATTGAAAGTCTGTTGGGAATCCTCTACTGAGAGACAGAACATTGCGGCAAAGAAGCAAAAAGGGCAGAAGTCATTACTGGAAACCAGACAGGTGACAATGCATCAACCCGATTCAGTGCAACCCTTATCAACACATGCATTTGGAACATATTGGGTGGAAATAAACATCTACACTTCACATCCTCAATCTCTGGTGTTTTGCCAGTTTCGGAGCATGCAAGGAGAAGAGGCAGCAGCTGCTGCTAAGGGATTGTACCGTTTGCCCTCACCCTTCCTGACCCCTTACCCATTCACAAAACTTAGGAGGGAATTTATCAAAACTGGAGGAGTTGCCCATGGCAACCAATCAGCTTCCCTCTTTTGTGAAGATTTGCAGACGAAAGAAGCCAATTGGTTGCCATGGGCAACTGCTTCAGATTCTGTCTATTGCAGTCTTTATAAGTTAACATCTTAGTACCGTCCAAGAATGCAAGGTGTTATCTGCCCCTTCTCCGTTCACAGATCTCCCCTGTCCATTCACGCAATACCTTTTCAGGATAGGAAGGGGAGGGCAAATGGTGCAAATCTTTTACAGTCCCAGACTCGCTTGTAGGAAGATCACTGCTTTCTGTAGTATCCAACATCCCTGAGGGGAGGCATATTACACTAACCAGCAGGACGTGGGATACAGTTTGTTAGAGGTATGACATTAGACTGCATGAAACTTTTTTTTTCCCTTCAAGATCTCCAGGAAAACTATTAACCCCGCAGTGCAGCTACCCCCACACTGCAAGGGTTAAGTGCTCATCTGTGTCTAGGGAGAAAAATAAATTACCCCAAGCTCCCAGCTGCCACAGCGCTCCCTGCAGTCTGTATCCCACTCCTTCACTGCATTGGACTTTTCCTCAGTGCCCTCATATCTATACACTGTAAAGACGTAGTGATTTACAGGACCTTAGACTGCTGCAGAGGAGGGGAGAAACATTGGAAAGACCGGTCCAAGAAGAATCCAGCTCAGAGCTTCAGGTGAGTATACCTTTTAAACCTAAACACAAATGAGCACTTAACCCTTGCAGTGCATAGGGTAACCCCACTACAAGGTCAATAACATTCCTGGGGTTGTTCTTTCAGCTTTATCACAACACATCAGCCACCCAGATGTAGAATATACATCAATACAGGTAACTCGTGCACACCACGTATTACAAGACTGTTCAGCTTCACAGAGATGAGGGGGTGTTCTGTAGTCCAGCAGAAGAGCTCAGGCAGGGCTGACAATTCAGTATGGCAGAGGCGTTGTCAGGCCGCCATAGAGAGCCGGAGTCATTATGGATTTGTATCTTTCTGCACTTGTTGGGTCTATAATGGGATAACAAATAAGGAAATGTGCATGTACAGTGCTGGAAATTGCTGCTACAATGCTCTGGCAGGGTCTGTCACGGTCACTTCCACAGGCCATGGAAAGGTATTATAGGAAGCCATGGCATAACATTGAATAGATGGATAAATGGGATTAAAACTGGAGCAGCAACCAATCAGCTTCTAGCTTTCCTTTTCAATGCCAAGATGGAAGCTGATGGGTTACTGTGCACGGCTGCTCCAGTTTTAGTAAATGAGCCCCATAGATGTTAGCATAGTATGGACGCTTCCATTGGAGCGCACACTTCCGGCCTTTGTGAACGGACACGGTACAACAGCCGGTCATGTGACATCCATAACCCGGAAGGAAAAGCCTCCCTCACCGAAAGCCGCCGGTTGCAGGTCTAAACCCTGCCTGCATCTGTCCCCCTCCCGGTATGTAAGCCAGAGCCGACCCGGGTAAGTCTATACCGCAGAAGGACTCACGACAGCGGCTGTTGGCTCCGCAGGGAGAGGGAGTCATATTCGTATCGTTAACCCCTCAACTAGAAACGCATAAATGACTGCTCGCGCTGCCTCTCGTTTCCCGGGCTATCTTTTCGCGGGCTTTTTCCCTCTCCGCTCTCTGATTGGCTAAGCTGTCACGCTCCCGCGTACCGCCTCTTAACAACAAAGGGCGAGGGGAAGATGATGTCGAGCTGGAGCCAATGAGCGCCGGCCTGGAGCTTTTAATGCGAACCAATAGACTCTCGCTGTCATTGGTTGATTGACGCTTAGTGGGCCCGCCTCCGATGTGGCGGCTAGACCAATGGGGTGGTTAGAGTAAGGATTTCCCGCGGTTTTTCTTTGTTGGGCTGTTGCTGTAGTGAGGGAGGGATTACCTCAGGTGACCAGCGGTGAGAAGTGTGTATTATACAGAACATCGGCCTGTGGCCCTTTCACATACACGGCCTGTGGGCTGTGGCACTTTCACTTACACGGCCTGTGGCCCTTTCACATACACAATCTGACTGAAAACTGAGAAGTATAATGGCTGTAACACGTTTTGTGATACATTTATGTAATTAAACAAACCCAACTATGAGGGGAATATGGAGGCTGCCATTGCTGACCTCTTTTGGTGCTGAAAATGCTATTTAGTGTTTTTGTTAGGGCCCATTCACACAATTGCGTCAGTGTGCGCTGGGATAAGGTGGCCCATTAATTTGAGCCGGTTGCCTAAGGCACCAAACAAGGCGCATTTATCATTTCTGGCGGCACACCGGAATGTACTTTAGTGGGTCACACTGCGCCACAATTCACGTCTGCGTTGGGCTGCCGTTCAGAATGATGTAACACACCCAATTCATCCTTTGCTATGGAGGCTCCAAGATGGCGGCTCCCTTTGGGTTAAGCCCGGTGGCACACTGCATGCGAAGCCGTGCAGAATGAAGCAAAGCTGTCAGGAGCTTGGCATGCAATGTGTGAGTGGAGTGCAGCCAGATGATTGACAGCACCTTCAGCCAATCGGCTCGTGCGTAACAACCTGATGGAGTGCGCATTGTGACGCTCGGGTTTATACGCGCAAGCCGATTGGCTGGAGATGACATTTTTCATCTCGGCACGCTCAGCTATGCAAGCTCTCACAAGCTGACGTGCCGGGGAGAAAATGACATGACACACTGCACGCCAAGGCAGCGCACCACCGCTCCGCGTGCAGTGTGTCACAGCTATTAGCGTTAGGGCCACACTACACAGAGGTCCCCTGACGAGGCAGTGCGGCTTCCACATACTTTACAAAAGTTTTGCATCTCAAACCTCTGATTGTAACCCTAAAAGGCCTCGTTCACACTGAGCTATTTATCGCGCGGTAATTCCCGCGATATCGCGGCTATTTACTGCGCGATATCGCTCTCCAATGCTTGACAATAGGGCAAAGGGTCCTGCTGTCGCGGGTCGTGCGTCGCTACAGCAGGACCCTTTTTGGAGCGGATTTTGCCGCGATTCTAGCTTGCTCAATGCAAGCATTTGCGCGATATCACGCAATATGCAAATCGCGCGCCAAACGCACGATTTGGGAATCGCGCAGTGTGAATGGGGCCTCATAGTTACCCCGTGTACATTGTCTTTTTGACATTCTAGCTGGGTGGGGATGTTTTGTGTATATCTCCCTAACAAGGACACAGACGGCAACAAAACGCTGACAGAGCTTGTAGTCCTTTATCACTCCATCCAGTCAGCTGTGAGGTGCCAGGCGCGAGGCGTTTCCTGCACGGAAGTAACAGCCAGTGATTGTACGGCTTGATACGCACCGTGCCAGTCCATAGTCTTGTGTTACATGCATTGCGGCAGCCCGTTTATTTGAATCGATGATGTCAGCAGCGGGGCGGGGAATGCAGCTGATTGGGCCGACACTTCTGGGCTCTGATCCGCTCAGGTTTGGTCCAGACACAAGCTCATCCCTACAATCCAGGTGGTTGTTATGGCGACACAGTCACTTTCAGATATACTTAAAACATTTTTATATAAAAAAAAACCCACCCCATGTGATATTTATTATAACTCAATGCTCATTGTTACTTTGTTCCGCAGGGTGAAGACTGAACCATGATCTCCCAGTTTTTCATCCTGTCCTCCAAGGGGGACCTCCTGATACATAAGGACTGTATCCTTTGGCAAAGCAAACAGTATTCCTTTCTCCGGGATGTTTTATGCCGCGGGAATACATCTGGATTTCTCTTCAGCTCCTCTCCGGCTCAATATAAAGAACGCCGGGCGTTTTATAAATGAACCCTTGCAGTGGGGGCTACCCTGGCACTACAAGGGTTAAGTGCTTGTTTTGGTCTAGGGGCCCGCTCACCTCTCTCCCCTTCCACTCTGGCTGTGCTATGTCCCTTGGTGTCCTTACATCCAATGCAAATCAGTGGTACGTAGACTGATGGAGCCCGGGGGAGGGGGGGGGAGAGAGGTTGTGGCGACTGGTCCAGCAGCCAGGCAGGACCGAGGATTAGGTGAGAATATCTTTTTTTAATTTTAGGTTAAAACAAGCACTTAACCCTTGTAGTGCAGCGGTAGCCCCACTGCAAGGGTCAATTTTTAAAATGCCCGGAGTATGTCTTTAACTAAAGGCCTATTAAAGGAGAACTATGAGGGGGGTGCTTTTCACTCACCTCATAGTTCTAGCCGACCTGTGACAATGAGACTGTCACAGGTCGGCTCAGTAGATCGGGAGGTGAGCGAACACATACCGGCGTTCGCTCACCTCTCGATCCTGTCACGGCTCTCTGCTGTGACAGGGGAGGGGCTGGATTCCCCCCTCCCCGCTCCGATCCGCCAGCGCTGACTGGCGGAACGGACGGGGGAGGGGGCGGGTACAGCTGGCTCTGCCTCTAGATAGGCAGAGCCAGCTGTCACTCACGCAGCTGGGCGGATCCCGTCATCTACGTCGGGATCCGCTCCGGCTGCGCCGGTCTCAGTATATAGAGAGCTGTAGCTCGCGGTATACTGAGCTTAGGGTGACGGGAGGACGCTAGTTTGTGTCCTCCCGTTACCCTAAGGAGAACTATGGTGAAAAACACTGACCCCATACTTCTCCTTTAACACCATCAGCATTGAACTGCATTGCCCAATTCAAGATCAATTTGCCTTATGACCTATTGCTTCAGTTCACACCAATGATTGGTTCTGCGGTGCGTTATAAATCGTCACCTTAGACCCCATTCACATATAGCGACATACCTTTTGCAGCGGATCCGCACGGCCGGGATAGCGCGACTTTCGGGGCGACGATCCAGCGACGGTAGTGCGACCTTCCCCGTCGGGCTCCATAGAAAAAAAGCAAAATCCGCCGAAAAAAGGGTCCGGTAGAAACGACTTGCGACCGCGACGAGCGACATGGAGTTAAGACAGCTCCATTGAATAACATTGGCCGGTGACTTCTCGCGATATCGCGCGGCAAAAATGCGCGATATCACGGCGGAAATCGCGCGACAATTCGCTATATGTGAACGGGGCCTTAGTCTAAAGCTGCCCATACACCTTACAACCATCGCACGACTTTCGTTGTGCGATGGTTGTAAGGTGATTCAAATTCCGTACGAACTGCCCATCTTGGACGAGCAGGTCTTACTTGCGATCATCGCAAACCCTCCCCGCTGAGGGGAGGGCTTGCCGATGATTGCAATGCTGAGCGGCCAGCGTGTGCTTGCGCACAGTGGCCCTTGCGGCTCTCGTCTCCCGAGCACGCTACCAACCCGACGAAAATGGTGCGACCGTTTCTAGCGTGCTCGTAAGACGAAAGTCGTGCAACCGTACAGTAAATGCAGTCGCACGCTGCCCATACACCTGCCGATTATCGTACGATCGTGGGATCACCCGTGATTATCGTACGATAATCGTCAGGTATATGGGCAGCTTTAGTAAGAATCCTCCCGAGCCTGTGTCAGCAGACAGGAAGGAGGATCTATGACATAATAGACTTCCACCATTGCACTTTTCTGTCTGTGGAATTCCCTTGGAAGGGTTGTCGCTCTTTCTTCCTTATGAATGTTCTCAGACCGCGGATCATCTGCGCACACCAACCTGGCTGATGGCCTCTATCTGAAGCTCTCCTCTCTTCCTTCTGACCAAGCCCCGGTGGTCATGGTGAGTTTCCTTTCATAGATTTTCAATAATAAAAACTGTGAACAATGTTTCTTCGCTTTGTATGTGTAGTATGCGCCTCTACTGTATATAGGACATTGTTTACTACTGCCCTCCTTGTCAAGATCTCAACCGCTCCTTGATGTGGCATAGGCGCATTTATAGGAGGCTAACCATATATATCTATGGGTGCGGGCTTATTCAGACGATAGCGGTGCGTTAGCGGATGCTCATTGTATCGCTGGGTAATGTGCACTGGGCTCAATTCACAAAGCTAACACACCAGGACAAGTATCCTTCTTTTCAGAGTAGTGACGGTTATGTTCAGTTCCTGAGACCAATGAAATTGATACATTACAGTCACATGGCTGAAAATCGAGTGCCATAGGCCGGGGCTAAAGCTTTGTGAATTGAGCCTATTGGCAGCCCACTTATGTTGTATACCCTGAAAAACACACATGACCCCCTTTTTATGCCAAAGCAGTGCACCAAATCACTTGGCATGGGCTCCAGTTCTAAATATATTTCAACTATTGTTGGAATGTATTCTTATTAGTTTTTTTGAATGTAGATTATGAGAGTGTCCTTTGGCCCGGACACAGGGTCAGTTGTAGTAATCTCGCAAAAGTGATAAAGATTTGTTTTTTTTAAATCAATTGTTTCTGTTTAACCCCCTTGTTAACTTAAAGTACAATTAAGCTCTCCTTTTTTACATATATCTACTGCTAGCAGGCAGTTTGTATATGCAAAAACGTTTAAAAAAATTAGTTACCAAAAAGGTAATTACTTAGATCTGTGTCCGCTCCCGTCTGATTCTGGAGCGGCCGTGAAGGATGATGGGGCGAGCGCATGGGCAGTAAAGATCTTCGGCGGGGAGAAGAGGAGAGAGACAGTGAAAGTGAATGCACGCAGCCGGGAGCGTGCACGCGGTCAGACACCGTGGGACCCCCACTGCAGCGCTGGATGGATTGCTGAATACAGGTGGAAGGGAAACGATGATCGGATCAAGAGGCATCATTTAACCAGTTGACATCCGCGGTGTTAAACCCCCTTCCCATCCAGGCCATTTTTCAGTATTCAGCGCTGCGGTACTTTGACTGACATTTATTCCGTCATGCAGCGCTGTACTGAAATTAATTTTATACCCCAATCCCGGGATTGAAGGTGAGGGGTCAGGGGGGCGGAAAAACAAGCACATATAGACGATCGGCGGGCTATGGAGCCGCTGATCGCCTATATGTGAAACACCCGGTAACGGGTGTTTGCATTGGTCGGGTCTTTTCTGCCCGTGCGTGCCCGCTAGGGGGTGCGTGCCCGCAGAAAAAAAATGGCCGTCTGGAGACGGCAAGCCGCCAATGCAGCAGTGCCGTCCATCCGTTTTTTTACAACGGGCGGACGGCAAGTGGTTAAGGTAAGTCCTTAAAGCAGCATGGGGGGAGGAAAGCATTTGTGACTTTAATGTCACATTAATTACATTTTTTAGGCCCATAGCTGAAATCTTGAAATGACTCCATACGACATGTACAGGTATGGAAGCCGACGTGGGTAAAGCTGATTTCCACAAATGAATGCACCTCCATAATCACTAATACATCATTACATTTATGTAAATATAAGCAGTGTCGGTGTCTGAATTCAACCTGGTATCAGACTCTTGCAGTCTCTCTACAGCAGAACTTAGATTGGGAGAGGGAGAAGCAGCACACAGAGTTTTGCTGCAGTGTTCCTGTGCTAACTGATAGAGGGCAGGGTGACAGAGAGGTGAGCTGCTTCTCTTTTCATGGTCCAGCTTCAGGCTGCAGATGGGGAAGAGACCTGTAAGTGTTGGTGAGCTGCAGCTTAAAAAAAACTCAGGCCTCCTGCCCTTGCAGTCAGGGCTGTGCTGTGTGTCAGAGCTATGTTATTCTCAGGAGTGGATGGACAGAAATACATAAAATTTGGCACGCCAGGCAACTACCATATATATTATTATTATTATACAGGATTTATATAGCGCCAACAGTTTGCGCAGCGCTTTACAATATAAGGAAGGCATTACAATCACAATACAATTCAGGACAAGATGGTAAGGAGGGCCCTGCCCCTGAGGGCTTACAATCTAAAAGGGAGGGGCAAGTGATGCATGAGGAGGGAACTGTGTGGGGATGAATTGATTGAGAATGTGATGGTTCAGTGGTCAGGTTGAGGTGGGATCGGCTTCCCTGAAGAGATGCGTTTTAAGGGATCACCTAAAGGCAGTCAGAGTGGGAGACAGACGGACAGGTTGGGGTAAAGCATGCACACTATTATACTATATGTATTTCATGTGTTTACTTTTCCTGGAGTTCTGCTTTTACTATTCAGAACTTGTCACTTTCGTTTGATTCCCATGACCCTTTAAATGTCTTTCATCTCTTCTAGGAACATGAGGGGTGCCACTTTATTCACACCCGACACCAAGGTCTATACTTTGTCATCAGCATCGGATCCAGTGACTCTCCATTTCTGTATATCGATCTTCTAAACCGGTGGGTTTCTGTCAGTCTTCTCTGGATTGATGTAAGAAGGATTGTAAGGTGATATTTTTCTTCCTCTCTTTGGTCCCAGGCTGGCTTCCCTGATCCGAGATTACTGTGGGGACCTCAGTGAGTCTGTAGTCCGACTCAACTTTGCTCTCATCTATGAGCTGCTGGATGAGGTTCTGGTAAGTGGTCAGCTAGTGGGTTTGTCTGTGCAGTTCTTTTCTGATGGGGAAATTTATCAAAGCAGTATTTTTAAACATGCGTGATGTGAACCTTGGTGAAATATCTCTTCCCTTTGGGTGGTGTTGTGGTCCAGTGGTCTAACTAAACCTAGGACACATACTGATACAGGCTGTTACAGGAGAATTATGAGGTGAGTGCTTTTCACTCACCTCATAGTTCTAGCCGACCTGTGACAATGAGACTGCCACAGGTCGGCTCAGTAGGTCGGGAAGTGAGCGAACACATACCGGCGCTCGCTCACTTCTCCATCCTGTCCTGCAGAGAGCCGTGACAGGGGAGGGACTGGATTCCCCCCTCCCGTCTGATCCTCCAGCGCTGAATGGCAGAACGGACGGGGGAGGGGGCGGGTACGGCTGGCTCTCTGCCTCTAGATAGGCAGAGCCAGCTGTCACTCACGCAGCTGGGTGGATCCAGACATAATTGTCGGGATCCGTTCCGGCTGCGGAGTCTCAGTATACCGGGAGCTGTAGCTTGCGGTATACTGAGCTTTGGGTAACGGGAGGACGCTAGTTTGTGTCCTCCCGTTACCCTTAGGAGAACTATGGGGAAAAGCCCTGACCCCATAGTTCTCCTTTAAAGTGGAGTTTACAACCCAAATTGACTATTGCCTATCTGGTATCCACTCTCCCATGGAAAATAGTTAAGCCTAAAAATAAAAACCAAAACATTAGCAACAAAAAATAAAAATGACTTGCCTTCCGGCCCCTTCGCCTAGGTGCCGGTGAATTCACTCTGGAAAGTCTTCTGAGAAACCCGAGGATCCCAGATCTCGCAAAATTGCACCCCAGTAGGGGTTGCCAGTGATCAAAGGGATGAGTAGCTGATCTTGTAGGTTGGGTCCAAAAGAAAGAACTCTAAAATCCTTTAGATTGTTCTGGACAAGAAACCTGAAGCCCCATCCGGAGACTTCTCTATGGTTAAGTACCGTGTGGGTGAAATGCGTCAGAGAGGTCCTAGGTGGGGCTTTGTATTGTTTGTCCAGAACAATAAAACAAATATGAAGGATTTTATAGTGTGCCACCAGGTTTTTTTTTTTAGATTCCCAGATAGTTTGAGGCTAGGTGCCCAGTTTTCTGTACCCGGTAGCCAAGGACCCAGCATAGAGGGCTTGGTGCAATGCGATGGATAACCTCTTTGCCTTGTAAGGTGGGTGTTCAGGGAGATGCAGCATTATCCTAGAGATGGACTTTAAAGCCAGCTCTTGAAGCGGCTTATATGTACTCTCCCTTTGTTCCCCTGCCACTGCGGGAGCAAGGATTGGACACTCCTTGTAAGTTCCAAATCGATTGCAGTTCACATTTATACAAGGGCAGGGAGCCTTCTTTCCACCCCATGTGATGAGTGCCTGAGCAGCTAGATGCCAGTCACCAGCCATGGTATGTGGGAGGAAGGGGATGGAATCACGCACATGTGTAGCCAGCATTACAGTAAACCTGCTGCTTTGCCCTGTATACTGTAGTAATAATGTGCACTGCATACCCAGCAACACTGAGCAGTTAGGTCAGAGCCCCACTAGAGGTGTCTACCATTACATTTTAGGTTAACAATTCTTTCTGCACACAGGATTATGGGTACGTCCAGACAACATCAACAGACATGCTGAAGAATTTCATCCAGTGTGACCCTGTTGTCATTAAACCGTTTAGTCTGCTGGATCTGAGCAGTGTGGGGCTGGTATGAAGCTGCACTATATACTCCCCGTTCACTTTACTATAGCTTCTCTACAACTTTCTCTTACCCATCTTCTTTTTGTTCTTCTACCCTACCTAATGACCCTCAGTTTGGAGCCGAGACTCAACAAAGCAAGGTGGCTCCCAGCTCAGCTTCCAGTCGGCCCGTCCTCTCCTCTCGAAACCAGCTGGTGAGTTGGTTGATCTAATCTACTGAGTCTAGAGCAGGCGTAGGCAACCTCGGCACTACAGCTGTGGTGAAAATACAAATCCCATCATGCCTCTGGAGTCATGCCTGTGGCTGCCAGAGTCTTGCAGTGCCTCAAGGGATTTGCAGTTTCGCCTCAATTGGAGTGCTGAGGTTATCCACCCCAGGTCTAGATCATTATAATGGACCTTGCAATTTTGGGATATGTGTGTCCAAACAATAAATGTGGTTTATTGTAGACTGTCCAGCATTAGGGATGAGCTCAGGTTCAGATTGAACCAGGTCCGAGCGTAATCTCCTCCAAACACAGAAGTGCAATAGGCCACCCACCCAATCATCTGCGGGCTGGGGCATTCCCTTCCCCGCAGCTACACATAAACAAAGGAGAGGGATGTGTGTGCTCATGTCATTTACTTTATTATGGCCACATGTCAATATTAGGTCAATGCCATTAACCAAATATAGCCATGTGACTACATAAGGGGAATGGCGTCACTGCATCCTGCCCCTTTGCTTACGTGCAGCTGCGGGCAGGAAATTCCCCCACTGCAGCTGATTGGACAGAAGCGGAATCAGCTTCCTTCTGTGTTCGGAAGAGCTCAGGTTCAGACCTGGTTCCATTCAAATCTGAGCCCATTCTTATCCATCAGCTTACTCTGAGGCTGACTTCATGGCTAATCTTCCTGTAATGCCAAGAAGTGGAGTAGTCACATACAAGTGACTCTGGGCCTGGCTCTTCCTAGCTTGAATGGCAGCCAATCATGGCAGTAACATAAAATGGTATTGGCTTATATGTTTAGGGGGGTTGTCTGTTACAAGGGGGGACTGCTCCAAAACATGGGTGCCTACATTTTACCCGTGGATGTTCCAGCAGCAACAATCTGACACATCCTGCGCCTGCACCAATGTCAGAGTTGATTTTCCATGATACAGATTTTTCTTGGTGCAAGAAGTTTTCAGTATTATCAACGCTCTGGTAACAGCCATAATAACGTAATGTTTATTGTTGGGATGTTCGGAGTTCCCCATGAGGGGTACAGATTTAGTGGTGGGTAAAGGAAAGGTTTAAGGGTTACATTTAGTGGTGAGGTTGAGGTTAAAGTGAACCTGTGTCTTGTCCATGCGGAGTATGTGACAGGTTCACTTTTTACTGCCTTCTTTACAGTAGCTTACCTTACTTTACCTTCACGCCTCCTCAAGAAGCAGTGACATTTCATTTCTGGTACCTCCCTTCCTCCTACGTGGTAGCACGGGCCCCCCATACACCCGGCATTGTCACATGGGGTAAGGAGGGAGTTCTCAGCCCTGTGTAAGAGTTGTGACATAGACGCTGTGCACTTGGATTTTGCGCTGGGTGAATTCCAGTCATAATGGATATGTTTGGATGGATCTAAGACCGTTTTAGTTTGGTTGGAGCTGCTTTATCCTTCTTGTCTATGTCAGAGCCCTCATGAGTTTGGCATTCCTTTCACACGGCTGTAGGCTTCAGTGAAGCTCAGCAAGGGAGGAAAGGTCCCATTTATCTAAAACTCTTTTCTCCTCTATACCAGAGTGAGCAGAATGAGATCTTCCTGGATGTCATAGAGCGCATGACGGTGGCCATTGGCACAAATGTGAGTATTCTTTACTCATTCTGATACCAGAATCACACCTATCTTTAGCAGGAAAGACATGTTGATTAATCTGATTTAACCCATTTCTTTTACAGGGTACTCTGCTGAAAGCCGATGTTCAGGGTGAACTCCGGCTGAAAAATTTCTACCCAAACTGCCCTGGTTAGTAGACTTTACTCATTGTAGGGTAAGGTAACAAGTTCACTTCAACACCGCTTCCCCAATGTAGCCTATAGTCACCTCTCCTCCTTTCCCCATTCCAGTTCAGCGGCTGAAAGCAGGAGAAGCCGCCATGTTTAAACTAGTCATTAACCCCTTCATGACTGAGGCCCTTTTTTCATTTTTTGCACCCATGTTATATTCCACATTTTAGGCCTGAAAATGAGGTAAAACCCCCCAACATTATATATTTTCTGAATGCCAAGACCCTATAAACGGCCACATGTCCTCTATACCCGGAAGTATTGGGCATTTTCTTCAGCAGCTGGACAGTGGGAACAGGGGAGAAGAAAGGTAAGTTTGTGCAGCTGGGGAAGGGGGATTAAAGAAAGGTTTTGCTGTGCATGGATAAAGGACAGGTTTGCTTTAAGGCAGATCAGTTTCAGACCTTTGTGTATTGCAGCAGAGTTTTCCTGAAGAAGCCAACCCTCCAACCCTGTGTCTGACCAACAACCTAAAAAAGAACAACCTTTCTGCGAGAAAATTAACTTACCCATAACACTCTGCAACCTCTCCCCACTGTGCATACCTTTACGTTGCGTGCACTAGACTCTCCCCCCCCCCCCGCAGCTGGTGTCCAGTCTATACACCGCACTGCAGCCCTGCAGTTAGCATTAGGCATAATGCCCGCAAATGGCGAGCACTGATTGGTCAGCACGGTCAGAAATGACAAACTACAGTACAATATTGCATATTCAGGATGTGATTTGCGCACACAGCTTCATTTCTTTTTGTTTTTCAGAGTTGAGAATTGGGGTGAGTGAAGAATTCTGCGTCGGGAGTTCAGAATTGAGAGGTTAGTGTTTTTTTGCACTTCATGTTGTTATTCCAAACTGGAAAACCTGAAGTCTCAGTGCACGTCGGGACTAATGATTAGAAATAAATTGATTTCACTCTCAGTAAGCAGTTTTTTTAACCGATATCTTTCATGGCTGAGGGCCTACTGCTGTCCTCTTGGTTCTTCGTATTTTGAAAATGAATAACAATTATTGAATAAAAAATACATATATACTTGGGCATTTAAAGAAGAAGTAAAGTTATCGAAATAAACAAAATTGATGGGAGTGTTGGGATTTTTGGCAGGAGACATGCAAAGTCACTTATGCTAAAAAAAAAAAAAAGCGAAGAAAGATCAAGAACTATTTTCAGGTACGCTGTATGAATGGGAACACAAAAACATATAGTAGGTTTTTTTTTTTCAAATTTGACTGCAAAATTGGAACTACGCTGGGGTGGGGGGTGTAAAACGTTTGCCCAGTGTATAGACAGCCAAAGCCATTCGCAAGGCATTATTGCCGATAGATGGAGCCGAAGAACATGGGAAATTCCTTTGCTCCTGTACCTCCACCTGGCGTTTGTGATGCCGTGTGAACCGCTTTCGCCTTTTTGTACATCCGCCCCTTTAAATCTTTAGCTGTTTGTTATAATTTTATGCTCTAATTCTTCCTAAACAGGATACGGTTCGGCGGTGCGGGTGGACAGCTGTCAGTTTCACGAATCTGTAAAGTTGGATGAGTTTGAGATCAGTCGGATCCTGAAAGTCCTTCCTCCTCAGGGAGAGGTGAGTCAAAACCCCCAAAACCATCACCTTCTGCTCAGTGTCACAGTTCATCTTATTGAGGAGTTTAGAATGGATTGCATTTTTAATTTATGTTGTTTTTTTAGGTAATAAAAGTGGTATATACTCTTGGTATTGCTTTTCTATCAAACTGAAGCATTGTGGGAGTAGGAGGGGTTATCCTGGGATGGCCTACAGTTTACTCTTTGCCTGTGTCCGCTCCTCCTGTAGGCGGCAGTATTCCTGATGGCGAATGACTTCAGCTGTTCCTCAATGTTTAAAAAAGACCTGAACTGTGGAAGCTGTGCCTGCAAAAGCCAAGCAGAGGACAAAGGACTAGTAACCAGTATTACCTTAGGCCCCCTGCAGCTGATCTTTTCCCCCATTACTGACTTGCTATACCTTGTTCTGCAGTGTGTCTCTGCCTCGGAATCCAAACTAGCATAAAAATTTGTTTTGTTTGAGGTTTTGAGTTTTCGTTCATTTAGTCCGAAACAAATTTTTAGCATTTGCACATGTCCAGAGAATAGTGAGCTGCACAACAGTGACATCCCCAAATCTCACTGCCACCGTCAGAGGCAGCAGTGTCTAAAGGTGCCCATACACCTTGCGATTATCGTAGGAAATCCCGCGATCGTATGATAATCGCAAGGTGTGCGACCGTTCCTACTGTACGGTCGCACGTCTGTTGTCGAACCAGCATGTTCGAAAACCTGCCGAGAATCGTACGATTGTCAGCGGGTTTCTAGCATGCTTGTTCGACAACTGCGGAACGGGTGCCGGTGTGTCACACGCGCACACTGCCCGTTCAGCATTGCGGTCATCAGAAGCCCGCCCCTCAGCGGGGTGGGCTTTCGATGATCGCAAGTACGATCTGCCTGTCCAAGATGGGCAGAACCGTACAAGCTTTTAATTAGCTTACAACCATCGCAAGACAAAAGTCTTGCGATGGTTGTAAGGTGTATGAGCACCTTTAGATGTCGCTCTGCAGATATACAGCCTTGAGGCTCAGTACAGTACAGTGCCTAAGCACAGTCACTATGCTATTTTATTAGGAGGAATTCAAGACAAATGGTAGGATTTTTTTAGGGTACTGCTCAGGCACAAAAATAACAAATCTTTATGTTCGGTACAAGATCGCAAATGTTCATTTTCTGAGTTCAGGTCCATTTTAAGTGTCTATTTCAACATGTCCGCTTTCGTGGCATATACTTTTGCCGCATGAAAATGCAATTTTAACTGTGCTGCAGCTTAGTGTGTTCTGAAAGGCAAAGTATATGAGCCCAATCACACCCACACATGTATGTTACTACGTGTACAGCAACTCACACAGAGCAGTGTGAATCCATGAAGCCTTAATCTTGTTGTGTCTCATGATGGGAGCCTTCATTTTGTTTGGTTTTACGTTACATTTTCCTTTCCCTTTCTTTCAGCTGACGGTGATGCAGTATCAAATCTCAGACAGTATCGGCACCTCCCTCCCTTTCCACCTATTCCCAACCGTGGAGAGAGACCCCAGGAGCAGGTAAGGACCCAAATGACCAAGTTCCATATATAGCAGGGGTAGGCAACCTTGGCACCACAGGCATGACTCTCAGAGTCATGATTGGATTTGTAGCGTCACCACAGCTGATGGGCTGAGGTTGCCTGCCCCAATATAAAGGATATCAATGGACAGGGATATCAAAGTACAGTGAAGGGAATTAATTAAAACTGTAGCAGCTTTGCATGGCAACCAATCAGCTTCTCTCTTTCATTTTCAAATCTTAACTGAACAAACTGAAGAGAGAAGTGATTCAGCAACCGGATGATTTTTCAAAAGTGGCAACAAAAATGAAATTTATTTTGCAACCGTTGTTGCATTATATAGATTGTAGAAAGGTTTAGCTTCACGCTCCTGTTACTACATATAGCACATTGTCACTCCCAGCAGCTCGCCCAGACTACATACTGCATGGCAAGGTATCATGGCACACTCACAAGTCAGCGATAAGAGGTGCCTTGGCGTGGCTGTGCGGCTTTCACATTTTCTGCAGAAGACGTGTAACTAAACCTCTGTTATTAACCTTAGTGGTGAGACAAGTTGTTTTACATGCTGACTTGTGAGTGTGTCATGATGCCTTTCTACTGTTTGCTGTTTAAAGCCCATTTCGTGTGCACCTTACTGTATAGTTGCTGACAAATTGTTGAGTGCGTTTGTCATTTGTTTTGGTGCAGCGACGCATGGGGGTTCTCAGCTGCCATTGGGATGTGCGGGATCCCTTGTGTGTTCCTGTGCCTTTAGGGGAGGTTGGGCGTCCTCCTGACAAACCTGCACCCAATTTGAAATCTTCTGCCCCCATGTGCTCCAAGATGGAGACTCTCATAGTTTAGAGTTAGGACCGCACTATAAGAGGAGCCTTGGCGCGGCAGTGCGGCTTTCACATTTTCTGCAGAAGACGTGTATCCAAACCTCTGTTATTATCCTTAGTGGTGAGACAAGTTTTTTTACATGCCGACTTGTGAGTGTGCCATGATACCTTTCTACGTCGGGTGAATAGACACCAAACATGTCAAGCCTTAAAATTGCGTGCGCCCGCAAAATCGCAAAAAACGCCCATAGGCAACACTTAAAACGCTTTTATTGCTCATCAGTATTATCAGTGATTAATGGCTCTGAAATTATTGCTCTCACTCCCACGTTTGCAGCGATATGTAACATGTGCGGCACAATAGGCGCAATCGTCGTTTTCGCACTTAGGCGCACCCGACGCATATCTGCGTGTGTATGTGGAGGGCGGGAATATGCTTCTGTAGTCGGAGAGGGACACTGAATGCAGGAAGTGATGTAATATACATCACTTCCTGCATTCCGGGACTGGAGAGGAGTTCAAAGAGAGATTGTGTACTGAACTCCCTTTGATCTTCTGTCACAGAGCCGTGCCGGTCCCGGCCACAGCGGATCTTGGGACCGGCAACGGCAGTGACAGCTGCTAATACAAGCGATCGAGCGTCCATAGAGACGCCCGATCACTTGAATGTAAAGCTCCCAGCCGGCCGTGTAATTACAATGGCCGGCCGGGAAGCTGCTCGACGGGCTCCGCCGTCCTCTCGTCACAGATGATGGGATTTTTCAAGCCCTGCAAATGTAAAATAACCAGAACGCATTTGCAATGGGGGGCGAAAACCTCCAGAAACATGGGAAAATGTAAAAAGTTCACACCCAGAAGAAGAATTCTTCAAATGAGAAGACTGTGTGAGTGAATAATGACAAATATTCTCTTTCAGTCGGCTGCAAATTTTTCTGAAGCTGCGATGTGATCTGAGCCCCAAGAGGTGAGTCCCCCAAATAAAATAAGAACGCCGATCAGAGAGAGGGAATTCTTCATACTGTACTGACCATGTCATTGTATTTCCAGCCAGGCAATAAACGTACTCGTGCAAGTACCAGTGCCGAAAGGAGCCAGCAGGTAAGTCTCCGGCGAGACACATGTATATATATGTTCTGGGGTGACAGCTAGAATTTCACAGGCTGGAAAGGAATCAGAGATCAGGTTTTGGAGTCGGAGTTCTCCCTTGGGAAGCTTAAAATGTACCAGTATTTTAGCAATAAACATAGAAGGTACATGTGGTAGGTGCTGTAGTGGTTCTCCCACACATGAAGATGTCATTGTGATCAGAAGACCTTGTTTACACCATGTTTGTTGAGCTGTGATTTTCCTCACACCACCGCACATGTATAGTATGAACAGGACACATAGAACACACGGTTTATGCCCTATACACACATTACATATGTGGTGGTGTGTGGAAAATCACAGCTCAAGGGACATGGTGTGATCAATGCATAAATATAATCTAAAATGTCATCGACGCTCTAACATGTTCATGTCATTTTTTAAATCTGGATCTTTCATTAAAATAATACCCGTGATCGTGCCATAAGCATCCTTGTGCAGACCTACGCAATCCGGGATCGCACGGGCCTGCACAATGGAGCCGCAATTGCCCCATCGATTTAAATGGGGTGACATTTGCATGGAAATCGCAGAAAAAGGGTACATGTACCTTTTTTCTGCGATACACGACGCGCGTCTGTTTTCGGCGCAATAGTGTTCGGAAGCACGGGCGGAATCGCGGCGCTCGATCCGCCCAGCACGACTGGGGTGTCATTAGAAAATAATTATTTTCTGGGGTGCCTGTAGGAAATAATGGCACCCACAGCGCAAACGGTGCACACCTAGGCGACTCCTGACCGTGCGGCAATCTGCGCGGAATCATGCACGATTGCCGCGCGGTGAGATGTCGCCTAGGTGTGCACCGGCCCTTAGGCTCTTCCTGTTATAGGCTGACAACGATCTGTCCCTGTCTTCCAAGTGTCCTCCTGCGTTGTCACCCTGTAACAAAGGGTTCGGATGGCCATTTCAGCACACACTAAACAGACGTTGTGCACTGTTATCGGCGGGGTGCATGTAGATGGAAAGAGGCTGCAGGAGATCAGCAACAAAAGGATGAAAGAAAGATGGAAACAGGATTTAAAAAAAACAAACATTTTTTATACACCACGCAGATCAGACTAAATGTCGTCCAGTCCAGGTTTACATCTCCATTAGGTCAGATGAGACATTTTATACTCTTCTCTGGGAGAAGTACACTGCGGCTGGAAAGGTGTCACCCTATTGTACCATCTCCATGTGATCTGTTACTATTATTTCTGAGACTTTCATGTTTCCAGTAATAAAATGAAATCCTAATATAAACCGACCCCCCCGAGTCACTCTTCAGACTTTGTGTTCCAGTGTTTCTCAGGAGCTCAGCAGTCCGGATCAGAGTGCAGAGTTGTCGCTGAGCACGCAGTCGCTGACCTGGAATATTCCAAGAATCCGAGGAGGGAGCCAGCTTTCCGCCCTCTTCAAGGTAACGCAGCTTTTCTATTCCATTGACGAGGGTCGTTTTCAAGACGCACAGACATGTCATCTTTAAAGTGACACTGAGACTGGCAATAAACGCTGTGCCGGTAAAGCAGAAAGTGAATACTTACTACAGGACATAGTAGTGACATGGAGGTCAGCAGGAGGAACCACTGTGCTACGGGACACACGGGAGAGGAAAACTCCCAGACGTGTTAGTTTCAGAGGAAATTTCAGCCGGAGATTTCTCTTCTACAGAACGCAGTTCGGCAGCACGAGAGGTTAGTATTCGCCTTCCTCTTTACCAGCACAGCATTTATGTGACAGGGCCTCTTCAAAGCCACTGTACACGGCTATCACTATGTGATAGTTATTGGGATGTGATCTGGTAAACGTTACTCTGTGTATGGCGTGTAGACAGTTACATCATTACTAATGATTGGTTGATATGGGAGAGTTTTATTCGGTCTGTTCAGATAATAATAAACCAGAACTGTACCGAATTCCTTGTCTGGCCCATCACACTATGGCACCAGACAGGCTCGCTTAAATGTCCAATGAAAATACTCATCCGTCTCCACAAGCCGCTCCATCTCTGGTCAGATTAGTAAGGCAATGCTCCTTCACACATGGCAGAATGTCGCTCACCAGCCACAGAGCAACACCTAGCTCATCCAGCTAGTCAGGGGGTCATCTAGGGAAACAAGGGTCTGCCCCGTCCTACATAGCTATGTGACTGGCGAGTTGTCCTCAGCTAAAGGCTTAAAGGAGAAGTATGGGGTAAGTGTTTTTCCCTATAGTTCTCCTAAGGGTCACTTGAGAACACAAACTAGCGTCCTCCCGTCACCCAAAGCTCAGTATACCGCTATACTGAGACCGCCGCAGCCGGGACGGATCCCGACATTACTGTTGATCCACCCAGCTGCGTGAGTGACAGCTGGCTCTGCCTATCCAGAGGCAGAGCCAGCTGTGCCCGCCCCCTCCCCCGTCCGTTCCGCCAGTCAGCGCTGGAGGATCGGAGCGGGGAGGGAATCCCTGCAGGGAGCCGTGACAGTCACGGCTCTCTGCAGGGATAGATTGAGAAGTGAACGAGCGCCCGTATGTGTTCGCTCACTTCCCGATCTATTGAGCCGACGTGTGACAGTTTCATTGTCTCAGGTCGGCTCGAACTATGAGGTTGAGTGAAAATCACTCGCTTCATAGTTCTCCTTTAAGTGTGACACGGACCCTACCGTCTCACGTGTTCTGCAGAGATCATACATGTGCATGGGTCACACAGTTTCTGTCACATCCTCTTCCATATGGTCACCCAACACTTTGACTCACTGAAAATATCTCAGTGGAAAATAAATCTATAACTGGTTGTTCAAAGTGTGTCAAATGCTCTCGCCCAAATACAAATGCGCTCATCAATTCCAGCCTGGTGTTTGTTGGCGCTCACAAGCGTTTATGAACAGTTCAGGACCATGAACCATTGTATGTAGCTTCTGAATTAATATGTCCAGGAGGGATGCTTATAGAACATTCCTGTTGGTTAATATGCAGAATCGGCACCATCAGTGGCTTGAGGAGCAGCGCGCTGATCGTCTGGTCCGCACCTCTAAGTATCTAGCCGAAGACTTTCTTTTATGTTTTCCACCAGACTCAGGAAAAATGTGCCAGGCGGGAGCTCTTTCACACATGTGCTAAAAGCAATGCTAAAGAGCACCTGTTATGTACTAAGGCATAATGCTGTTTGGGGGGATAGGGAAGGTAGATGCTGGGCTTGGTTCTTCCAGAGATGAAGGTTTTAGTGTATTTTGGATATAGCACTTTCTTGTGTTCTGTGCCATTGTTTGCTACCATGGCAGTAGTTAGATTAAGTTGTTGGATATAGGTGTGCCATAAAGAGGTCGGCAATGGCATCCCCCTCACATCTCAGTACAGGTTTCAGCATGGCTCTTCTGATGCCTTCTGGGTAAAACACAGCAGATTGAGGACCTTGGAGGGAAGGGTGGCTTGCCAGCAAGTAGTACAGCAGTGTGCTGTCTAGATCTCAGTTTGTGTGGGATGTGTCAGGACAGATCGGCACTTGGTGACATATATTACAGCAGGGCTTAGAGCAGAGCTTTTCATCTCGCCAAGTTTGAGACTTCATTCCAGCTTTGTACGTCTGTCCCCTCCTGCAGGTCGATGTGTCTGGATGCGTCTCCCTGCCCTCCGTTCTGGATCTGCCTCCTGTGAATGTCTCCTTCCAGGTGCCATCACACACCAGTTCTGGCCTTCAGATCCGTTTCCTCAGGCTCAGAAATGAACTTCCAACCGCCATCCATACTTGGGTCCGTTACCTGACCCAAAGTGACTCGTACAGTGTCCGGCTCGGGTAGACACCTGCAGCACATCGCACTGGGTGCGTCTCACTCACTGGCAAGTACCTGGTCTCAGAGGTGCAGCATGTTTCTTGAAGGATCGATTTGACGTTTTGTCCTATTTTTTGCTATGAACAAAGTTATATCTATTCAAAGAGGCCGACCTGAATTATGGGATGTTAGAGCTTTGGACTGAACGACCTCATTCATCGCCTTGGTCTAAATAAGCAGAGCCTGATGAGTCTGGGGTACCCTGTAATGTGTCAGCAGGCCCGTACAAAGAATCTATCCGCGTGAGTGAGGAGGTTTGCCTTGTGTTACACTTCTCGCCGGGCACAAGGGGAGGATCTGGACTCCGGGGTGTGTCTGCAATGATGACATGCGTCTGAATTTATAATAAAGTCATGATGGAGGTGAGAGCGATGCTGGAATCATTTGACAATTTTGTACTCTTAAAAAAAACTCCTATGTTGTGTTGTTTTCTATGGCAAGACAAACCGGTGAATGATCTCTGGATGCCTTCTGCTCCAGAGCGATATGGGGAAGCTGCACTGCTGACCATCTTCTGAAAATACCATTTGCTCGGCTGTCGTGCCGATCCTCTGCCTTTCATATTTTGAGTCACTGGCCAAAAATAAATATGCAGCAAGTGACATCACAATTCCTAATCTGAAGACTTGTTGGCGAGGGGGGGAGACCATGGAATAACTAATAGTAATATAGAATGACAGGCAGGCAACAACATTGGTCAGATGAAGAGGTCAGCAGTGGAAGGCTGATTATTTCTGTCGTCACGTTTTATTTAAAGGGAATCTTTCAGAAGAAAGCAGCCGTCCTCTGAGTCCTGGGCTGTAGACTAATTCCCTACAGCCCTCCCAGGAGTGAATTCGCTGCCCTAGTTTTTGAAAACAGAGAACTTCTACTTCTGAGACCAGTATTTAGCATAAGCATCCGTTCCCATTACCAGATTGCAGCATAGACCTGGGCTCTATATATGAGCTCCAATCATCACATTTAGTCTTAGACTTCACAATTGTTGTTTAATCCTGCACAAGATGGACTGGTCTTCTAATGCCTGTGGATACATCTCATAATCGAGCAGCGCAACGTCCAAGTTCTGAGCGTTTCTACCTCTGATGTGTAGGGTTTAAAGTGACACCAAACTCGGGATTTAAATCTTAAAAATACATCCAAATACCTCAACTATGAACAACAATGTATCTTATTTGTGTATCACTCGGCTGTAGATCAATCATCTCTGAATTGGTGCTGACACTGTCCTTCCTTCTGGAGGGGGGCTACTTATGTTCCCCATGGTCCCTGTGTGTGTTGTAAAGTAGTCACCGCTCCAAGCTCACTCCTGTGATGGACTGCAACCTCATGGTTAGTTTTCTAATTTGTATTGAGATTGTAGATAGACATAAATAATACAAAGCTGATAATTTCTTATGAAAAAAAAAAAAATCACAAACATACCTGTTCTCTGGTGTTACTTAAACAATTTTTATTCAAAAGTTTCATCACTTTAACAAGTAGAAGCCAATAATGTTTTTAACATTCAAACTTAACAAAGCTTTACAAGTGCAAATAAACCCCCAAACCAGACTGCTGTGTACGGAACTGCACCCAGCAGCGGTCATACGTAACATAAATAAATAACAAACGTGACACAGTGTTCCAGGTCTACCTTGGTGCTGGACACTGCAGGATGTCCCTGTCAGGATGGATGTGTGTCGGCATACAGAAATATGAAGTATCTGGAGCACAGTATCCATCACTCTTCATTTTCCAGGAGGGCGGAATCCAACAAGTCAGGAAGAAACTGAAGGTTTTAAAAACAAAGAAAACAATCACACGTGAAATAATATGTAGAGAATAAGATTCCGTACGGCAGGGGTGCCCATTTGGTAGATCTTGATCTACCAGTAGCTCTCAAAGCTGATGGTGGTAGATCAGGAAGGGTGTGAATGGCGGCCCCTTTATTCTATTTTGGTATATTTATTTAGCTGTGCACACATGATTACCTATTAGCCTGAGACTGCTGAGCCAAGCTCCCTGACACCTCCCTGGTGGATACTGGTGGGTAAAGTGCTATGTATTACATCAAAGAATATTAGTTTACACAGCTTGTTGCAAAATACAGCAAGGTGAGCCAGGAGAGACAGCCAGCCAGGGGAGAGAGAGGAGAGACAGCCAGGGGAGAGAGAGGAGAGCCAGCCAGGAGAGAGCGAGGGAGTTTTTTTTTTTTTCCGTTGGTAGATTTCATGTAGCTCGTCATTTGAAAAGTAGATCTTAACACAAAAAAGTGTGGGCACCCCTGCCGTACGGCATAGCCTAAGAAACACACATTAGTGTATGATGGGGGTATGGGTTCGCAACAAGAAGGATGATTACCGCAGGAGAAGAGCTCAGCCTCCTATGACAGACTGCTCACAGCGCTCTCCTCCTCACCCGTCCTCTTGAACATTTCTCCTCCCTGCTGGACACTGCGATGTGTCAGAGGGGACACAGAGCAGCGCCCAACGGGGAGGGGAAAAACCAGGGATGCACTGCATTTTCCTCTATGTTGCAGCGGCCGAAATTTTGGTGCATCCCTAGTTTAAAGTAGTGGAACTGCACTAAAATGTCAGAAATGTCTCCACTGTGGCTCAGAGTGTTTACTGGAAGAACATTCCAGCAGCTTACCACCCATAGATGCTCATTAACCGCACATAACATCCCCGTGTCATCCCTATTGAGTATTCTGCAGCGCAAATCTCCTCGGGGTGTCACGTAAATAAATCACAATACCCATTACACCCCCTGCAGCAATCCTTCCCCCTGGGCTACAACTTCTGAAGCAGTCCACCAGCATTACATTGTCTTCTATTGATAAGGCAACTTCAAAATTATTGAATTTTTGGAATCCTCATCCTAGGGCTTTCCTTGTTGAGCCGTGTCATAATTCTGCTGCCTTGTCTCCCACTTATGAGAATACTACAATCTGGAAGTAAAATTGTTTTTTGTTTTGGGGGGGGGGGATGTTAGGAAATTGTACCATGTGATGCATTAGGTGCAAAATCATTTTTTTATTGACACAAACAATAAATAAAGCAAAAAGAAAATCTTGTGTGCAGAAGTATTCACCCCATTTGCTATGAAACCCATAAACCAACCAGAGCCAACCAATGAACTTCAGAAGTCCCATAATTAGCTGATGGAGGTCCCATCGACGTGTTACATGATCTGTCACAAGATATCAGTATATATATATATACACACCTATTCTGAAAGGGCCCCGAATCTGCAACACCACTAAGCAAGCAAGACGAAGACCAAGGAGTTTTCCCAACAGGTCAGAGACAAGGTTTTGGAGAATTGTAGATCAGGTTGGGTTATTAAAAAAGAAATCCCAAACTTTGAACATCCCACGAGGCACCATTAAATCCATTACAACAAAATTAAAAGAATATGGCACCGCTACAAACCTGACAAGAGAAGGCCGATTGCCAAAACTCAGACCGGGCAAGGAGGACATTAATCAGAGATGCAACAAAAACCCCCAAAGATAACACTGAAGGAGCTGCAGAGATCCACAGAGATGGGAATATCTGTCCATAGGACCACTTTAAGCCGTACACTCCACAGAAAGAGGTTTTATGGGAGTGACCAGGAAAATAGGATTTTATTCTTACCGTAAAATCCTTTTTTGAGTCCATGGAGGGACACATCCCTGAAGAATTCTGATACATAGGGTTATGCTGCGTCTAGGAGAAATGAGAGGAGAGAGCTGTGTCCCTCAACGGACTCCAAGAAAAGGATTTTAAAATAACATCCTTTTTTTCTTTGTCATCCATTGAGGGGCACAGCTCTGAAGAAATCTGAGACGTAGGGACGTTCCAAAGCAGTCCAAACAGGAGGACACCACAACAGCTAAACAGTTACATTTAAACAGCCGCCTAAAGAACTTTTCTGACAAAACTAGCATCAGAAGAGGCAGAAACATCAACTTTATCAAACATTGAGTGAACGGAAGGCCAAGTTGTGGCCCTGCAGATTGGCCACAATTCTCAATGTACTCCGAGAAAAGCATTCTAGGGTAAGATCGCCCATTGAGGGACACAGCTCTGAAGAATTCCGAGATGTAGGGACGTTGAAAAGCAATCCAAAACAGAGGTGCGGGCACCATAAAAACTATAACATGTTCACGCTGGAAGTGCGGAGATTAAGGGGGGACATGATTTTGATGTACAAGATGTTCAGTGGTGATAGCAACATCTGCCATAAACTTTTTACGGTAAACTCCACAACAAAAGACTAGAGGCCGCCACCTAAAATTGGTGGAGAAAAGATTTCAGCACAAGGGGCTTCTTCACAGTTAGGGTCTGGAACTCACTGCCGCAAGCAGTGATTTCAGCTGAGAGTATTGAATCTTTCAAAAAGCATTTGGACGATTTCCTCAGAGAGCGTATCATTCAGGGGTACAGGTACTCTTAAGAACAAGATCACACAGGGACTCATACACACGCATACACATGCAGAATCACATGCATACATGCAATGGGTTGAACTTGATGGACCCGTGTCTTTATTCAACCTCAAATACTATATGTCACTATAAGAACCAGCTCAAATACTAAGCAGCTGCCTGAAGAAGTTGTCTGCCCAAACTAGCATCAGCAGAGGCAGAAACGTCAACTTTATAAAACTGCAAAAAGAGTGAATAGAAGACCAAGTTGCGGCCTTGCAATGCGAGTAACAGAAGCTTGATTTTGAAATGCCCGAAAAGTACTACGCGCCCTAGCAGAATGAACAGAAAACAGGAAAAGGAGGAACTTTATCCGGCAACTCAATGACAACCTGACAAATCCACTCAGAAATAGTGGATCTAGAAAAACTGAAGAACCTCCTCTAGGCCCTTCTGAAAAAACAAATAAAAGAGTCAGAATGTCTAAAAAAAAAAGATAAAAGACCAAATCTAACCACCCGCACAACATCCAAACAATGAAGAGAAATTTCCTTACAATGAACAGGACCCAGACCAAGCGAAGGTTAAACAATGTCTTCATTCACTGAAAGGCCAAAACTA